CCTCCGGGAACTCCTGTCCCTGGGAAGGCCTGTTTGCCTCGGCACGCGCCGCAGACCCAGCACCACGATTCCGGCTAAAGACCATTTGGGCTCCAGGCAGACTTTTTTCATTTTAAAGTGAGGTCAATTTTTAAAGTCTGCAGTGGGGTGAACTTGAACTTGGTCGTTGTCAGCAGTTTTCAGTCTCAGAAGCACATTGGCCTTAGTTGCTGCGGCTCGTTGTAGATTGATTTCAGATTCCAGGGCTCAGGGACAGACCAGAGCTGAGTTTCGATGGCCTCAGTCCTTTCCCAAGGAGGGTCTGGCTCTGTCCACCTGACCTGGGGCCGGCCTGAGACCCCAGCCAATCACCTGCCTCCGAGTGGCCAGGCGCTGGCCACTGTGCCCCTGAGAGAAAGGGGGAAAGTGTTGCCAACAGGGAGGTGGAAACCCGCCTGCAGCAGGGCTTGAGATTGCAGGGATTTCCCCTAATGGAGAGGATTAGAGAAAAACACCCTCCCGTAAAAGAGCCAGTGGTCATTTGCTCCCTTCCTGGGCTGACCAGCAAAGTGGACGGCTGCAGCGGGAAGGAGGCCATCAGGGCGGTGAGCTCAGGGACAGCAACCCGAGCGGCCCGGGTAGAAAGAGCCTGACCGCCAGGGAGTGGGCGCACTGCTGGGCTGGGGCTCCTCCTGCGGGGGCCTGACGCAGCAGGGTGGGCAGGACGTTCACCCCGCAGAAATAAAGTCTCCGCCTTCTCAAGGAGGAACGTCCCTCAGGCCGCCCTGTGCTGGGAGGAACGAGGAGGGCAGGAGACCCTTTCAGAAGCCCCCGGCGCCCTTTGGGGTTTATTTAAACAACCCAATTGCTCTTAACCCCTCACGTGGGAGGTGGGTGCTTGGCCCCGTGTTCTCGGTTGGGAGACGGGAAAGGGTGCCGAGCCAGAACGCTGCACCCGGCAGAGCCCCGGCCCCTACCCCGGCCTTGCGTAGGGATGCAGGCCCCAGCCCCGCCAGGAGCTCGCTGGCCCGGCGTTCGCTGCTTGTTTGGCGGGCTGGCTGGTGGTTGGATGGATCTGGATACGGCTGTGTGCCGCGAATGGCCAGGGGCTCCAGAGGCGGCCAGCAACGGTGTTGACCCCGTGGAGCCAGCCCAGCAGGATGAGCGCTCAGCCTTGCTGAGGCCTCAGTGATGCTGTGAGCTGACCCCACGGGGACTGGGCCTGGGTGAGGCCTGACTGTTGGGCTGAAGGACAGGAAGACAGGGGAAGAAACAGGCCGGGCTCCCGGCACCTCCCCGGGGAGGGGCCCACAGGGCCTGGGCCATTTGCAGCTCCCCCTGTTGGGAACCCTCCGCCGGCCCAAGGGTCACCCCCTGCCCCGGCCAGCTGGGCCCCGGAGAGGCGGGGGGTGGTCACGGAGGCCCGTCAGCGGGCCGTGGAGTTGGACCACCCCTCAGCGCCCACTGCTGCTCTGGGACCCCCAGCAAAGGGCCCGCAGAAGAGGGACAGACATTGGACCCGTCAGAGACTGTGACCGGGCAGGCTTCGCGGGACAGCGGCCATGAGGGGCGTGAGTGGCACCTCTGCTTCGTGCGGGACAATCACGCAGGGACAGTGCTCCTCCCTTCGGAGTGCCCTGGCTGGGGCCTTGGTGTGGACGGGACAGCTGCGGTCACGCGCCCTGGGACAGCACCGCCAGCAGAAGGGCCCAGAGACCAGCTCGGGGTGCTGCACTCCCTTTCCTGGCGGGAACTCGGCAGCTGGGAGGACGGTGCGCCCCACCGGCCACCCAAAGAGGGTGTGCGGTGGGGATGGGTCTCTGTTTAGAGACACAGCCTCCTGGAGTGGCAGGCCCCCCCGGGGTTGGGTCAGACTTGGGGTGGGAGGTGGGAAGGACCATCTGGGGTTAGGTCCCGGCAAGGGGCAGGGTGCCTGTGCACAGGGGCCGGATTACCTGCCCCACTCGAGGTCCATTAAAATGACAGTAAAGACATTAGGAAAACCAAAAGTGCTTGAAGGCAGAGAGGAGGGAAGAGGGGCGCAGGCTGGGAAAGCAGAGCCCACGGCTGAGGGCTGGCCGAGCCTGGCTGCAGAGCCAGGGAGGCTCCAGGCTGGAAACAGGGCCTTGGGGAGGTCTGCGTGGGTGGGGACTGAGACCCTAGGTGGGGAAGGGAGGATTCCTTCCCTACAGACAGACAGACTGGTCTTCCAGGCCCCTGTTACCCACACTGACGTCCAGGAGGACGTTTCCCAGGACTGAAGGACATGAGCACGCCTAGGGCGTCCTGCCCCATCCGTCTGTCCTGCTGACACCTGGATGCTGGTCAGGCGTCAGGTGGTTCAGAGCTCTCAGCACCAACGTCAGCAGCTGGAAGGACCGTCACCATCACATACCTGGGGACGGCCTCTCACCTGCAGCCCGTGCACAGCCAGCCTTCCAGCCGAGGCTTAGTGCCCAGCGAAGACATTTCCAGACAAACAAAGACCGGCCAAATGCCCCTCCCTTGAGTTCTTCTCACGAAACTCGTGGAGAATGTGTTCCTCTAGCACCAGGAGGAAAACTGAGAAACATGAAGGCTTACAAATCAGGAAGTGCCGGATGCACCAGGAGAGAAGATGGGGAGGGAGTCCTAGTGCAGCAGCTGTGCCGCTGGGCTAGAGAGCAGCCATCCGGATTGAGACGGGCGGGCGGAGGCTCGAGAAGGGGTGTCTCTGGGAGCAAGTGGCAGACTTCCAGGCTTGTCTGAACATCCTGGGGAGGTGTTAGGATGCTGTCAGAGTCCTGTTAATGATGGCCTTGCAGGAAATCCAGCAGGGAAGAAGTCGCGTTATTTTTTCTTTAATCTTTCCCCCCGTTCTTTAGATAGGATAATTTCTGTTGATCTGTCTTCAGACTCACTGACTCTGTAATCTGCCGTCTCCAGTCTGCGGCCAAGCCCAGTCAGTGGGTTTTGCATTTCAGTTATTATACTTTTTATTGTAGAACTGCCATTTAGTTCTCTTATGTAGTTTCATGTAATTTCCATTTGTACCTCTCTGTTTACTCATTTAAGACCATATTTCCCTTTAACTTTTTGAACATGTTTTTCACTCATTCTTTGAACAGTTACAATAGTTGTGTTAAAGTCTTTGCTAAATTCAGTCTCTGAGCTGCCTTGGAGTTGCTTTCCATTATGTGCTGTTCTGTATTTCTCTCCCCTTGAGTGTGGGTCATATTTTCCTCTTATTTGCAGGCCTTGTGACTTTTATATTATGTACTGAACATTGTAAATGTTACACTGTAGAGACTGGATTGTTACCTTCCGCTGAAGAATGTTGACCTTTGTTCTAGTGAACAGTTCATTTCTAGCTGATTACCTTGAACTGGGGGGCACGGCTTGACATTTTGTTAGGGTGGATCTTTATCTTGGTGGGACTCAACATACAGAGTGTTCCATGGATTTTTTTATTTCTTTTTTTTACTGGCTGCATTGGGTCTTCGTTGCCGCGCGGGGGCTTTCTCTAGTTGCGGCGAGCGGGGGCTACCCTTCCTTGCAGTGCGTGGGCTTCTCATCGCGGTGGCTTCTCTTGTTGCGGAGCACGGGCTTTAGGCACGCAGGTTTCAGTAGTTATGGCATGTGGGCTCAGTAGTTGTGGCGTGCAGGCTCAGTAGTTGTGGCACACGAGCTTAGTTGGCTCCGTGGCATGTGGGATCTTCCCGGAGCAGGGCTCGAACCCGTGCTCCCTGCATTGGCAGGCAGATTCTTAACCACTGTGCCACCAGGGAAGCCCTGTTCCATGGATTTTATTGGGGCTTGGTTTTAGATTTTGGCAGAGTTGGTCTGGGGCAGGGCTAACTCGCCACCGTCGCTGGGCTGGAGCCCAGAGTGTGCAGCATTGCTTGACTGTTAGTGCCCCTGTCGAACTCTCGGCCTGGGGACAGCTGCCTCTGAGAGCCCTGGGGATCCTGCATTGCTCACCTGCACTTCTGGCCCTGAATGACCCCTCCAGCTGGTGCCCTGGCTCGCAGATGCGCGGCCTCCTTCTCCACCGGAGGGATGCTCTGCTCACCAGGTTCCGGGTCATGATCTTAGCTGGGAGGTCGCCCCCAGCTGGGAGCCGGCCCATCCCTGGGCCCCCCAGCCTGGGCATCACCCGTCGTGCACAGCCTATTGTCCAGAAGTCGGCCGCCTAAAACGTGTCTGGTGGACGTTGTCTGCAGTGGGAGGGCCGGCCCGACACCAGTCAGTCTGCATGGCCACAGCACAAGTTTGGAGCAAACTGAACAAGGCAGGAAAGTTTCCGGAGTTCACCCAGCTCAGCCCTGCTCTGCTCCTGTCTCCTGCAGATAGCATGTCAGCAGAAGACGCTCGGAGAGCTGTTTCGGGGCTGTCGGGGTTTGGGGGGCTGGGGCATGACAGTGAATTCTCACCTTGAGCTTGGTCGGTCAGGTGTAAGACTGGACACTCAGGAAGCAACCGTATCAGCGTGTTAGTGAGAAATGTGAATGTAAATGTCCAAAAGAATAGCTAAAAGCGTGTGGGAGTTGGGGAGGAGAAAGCCCCAAGGGCTCTCCCCTCCAGGCCTGTGTCAGGACTCAGGTTTACACAGGAGATGCCGTGTGTGTCACCGTGACATAAATCACACTGCAAATGAGGAAAAACTAGACCATCTCCGTAAATGTGGAAAAGTGTCTTGTATAAAATACACATTGGCAGGACCCTGTTGGCCGCCCGGGAATGGTACCACTTTGTTGCCAGCCTGGATGATTTGGAGCTGGGTGTGCCCGTGTGGGCTGGCTCAGGGGTCCTCATGGTGGGTCCACCCCTGAGGTTAGTGCTAAGTGTCCTGGGTCCAGCCGGGGAAGCCGAGGCCACCTGAGCCCCCCCGCCCCAACCCCAAGCACAGAAGTGGGCCCTGCGTGGCTGCCTGTCAGGGCCCGTTCCCTTCTGTGTGGAACCTGCAGCCTAACTGTCCCTCTCCACTGGTCCCTTGAGCAGCTCCCTGCCTTCCCCTGAGGATGGACGCCGGAGACCCCGCCGGAGACCCCGCCGGAGAGCCTGCTACTGGTGACACTGCTGGTGACCCAGCTGGTGGTGAGTGTGTCCCCATGGGTGAGTCTGCACCCCGCACGGCCCAGGTCCAGCCTGGCTGCACTTGTCAGGGCTGGGCATGGGGTGGGTGTGGGGGGGGTCTGTGTACAGGTGCATGCTTGTGCACCGGGCGGGGACCCCAGGTGGGAGGCGTCCAGGCGATGTGGCTTTCTGGGGGCCTGGGACGTGTGGAGCGGCCTCAGTTGTGGACAGGAGCAGGCAGGTGGCTGCTACCACGGCCTTCCTGTCCTGAGGGCCGCGGGCGGGCACCTCCCTTTGCCCTGGGAAATGTGGCCTCGTGGTCCTGCAGTGGACCGCCTCCTGGCCACTTGCTTCATGTCTGACACCAAGGGTTGGCCATGACTGGACGGACACTTTAGGGGGCCCACACTGAAGTGTGGGTAAAGCTGGGTGCAGGGGGCTGGTGGGAACGGCGGGGTTCTCTCTGGAGCCTGGCTCTGCGCCCCACACTAAGTGCGGACACAAGGCATCTTATCAGTCCTGCCAAGAAGGAGAGAGGACGAGGGGGCTGGGAGGTGTCTGAAGAGTGAGGACCCCCAGACTGGCACTTCCAGCTTGGGAGCCCCGGGATCCCACATGGTCCCTGGCCCCAAGAGAGCGGAGGCTCTGCCTTCCGTTTCTCCTCCGGGAGCCCCGAACTCCTCGCGGTGGTGTCTGTGGGCTCCGAGAGGCTTTCTTTCTGAGTGTCTCCTGCGTTTGGTGAGTGTTGTGGGCAGGGCAGACGTGGGGTCACGTGAAGCCTGATCTCGCCCCACCAAGGACAGGTGGTGACGTGGAAGAGGAGACCAAGGCTGGAGAAGGAGGAGCTCCTCCCAGGCCGGGATCGGGTGTCCGGTTGGAGAGTGGGGCGCCCCTCCCTGATGGCCCCTGGCATCCTGGGGGGCCGTCCCTGTGCCGGGCTGGGGTCCTCTGGTGGGCACAGGGGTGGGAGGGAGAGCCCCCAGTAAGTAAGCAAAGTGTTGCCCCTTCTTGCAGGTGGTGGGGAACCTGGGGCCTCTTCCCAACCTCTGCTCACCCACCCCAGGGTCCTGAGAGGCTTGTGGAGTCGGCCCCCCATCTCCTGTGGGGTCCTCCGCAGGTGCACACAGCCTGCTCCAAGCAGAGTCTCCAGGGGGATGCCCAGGCACCCTCAGCCGCCCACAATGGGCTCGTTTTCTGCTCAAAATTCCCCAGACCTTCAGACCGTGCTTTTCCCCACCTGTCCCCAACGTGCAGAGTCTTCAGGACCTGACACCACCCTGCTATGACTGGGGATCAGACACAGCCCCTGGCCTGCTGTGAGTGACCGCAGGCCAGGGAAGCCCTCTTCAGTGGGCATCTCTCCACCAGGGTCTGGGTACCTCCCCCAGGGTGCTTCTGGCGCCTCTGCTGGTTTTGCCAAGAGCAGGACCCTCCTCACCTGCAGCCCCCGGACTCTGACACCCGAGGCCCCAGGGCCTCGGCTTGTCCTGGACCATCTGGATGCCACCCTCCCCCGCCTGTCCTGATGCTGGGGGCAAGAGGGGAAGGGACAGGCCGGGGAAGACCTGTGGCCCTTCCCTCCCGTCCTCCCCTCTCCTGGGAACAAGAAAACATTCCCCAACTGAGAAGTCAACTGGGCTCAAAAATTGGTTTTCTCCTGAAATCTTGGCCTTTGGATGAGCAAGTGTAGCTGAATCAGAAAAGCTGCGGGCTGAAGTCCAGCAGGTCCCAGGATCTCGGGCAGCAGTGGATCCCCCTTCCTTGGGAAATTCGAAAGTCAGGCAGACAGAGCTGAATCACTTCTCAGCATGGAGGGAGGGGCAGGCGCGACCCGCCAGGAAGCCCCGTCCCTGCCCCGCCACCCCTCACAGGCTCGTGCAGTACCCGGAACCTCCAGGCCTGGCCCTCCCTGTGTTAGGGCTGGGGTGGGGGGTCCCCCAGCCCTTGGGGCTGTGGAACCATCCTTGGGCTGTGACCTGAGGGAGGCTGTGAAAACAGGCGACACAGCACCCACCTTCCTGGCTGTGTGACCATGGGCAAGTTACATACCTTTCTGTTTCCTTACCTGAGAAAAATAGTTGTTGCCCTATACTTAGCTCCATCTGTGAATGAAAGACTGCCGGCGTGTGGGCTGTGGAGGCGTTAGCTGTGATCCTCTTTAGTCTTTGACCCAGTGGAATTTATTTTGCTGTGAGAGGTGAGGAATGGGTCCAGTCCATCCTGGAGGACCACTGGGACACCCAGCAACACTGAGCTCCCCATGTGTGGAGTCTCCCCGGCTTTCTGCTCTGTTCACCTGCTGCCTCACGCTATTTGGTGGCGGTGGTTTTATGACCTGCTGCATCCGGCAGGACTAAACCTCTCGTTGCTTCTCTCTCGTTTCTTGTTTATTTTCCATATAGACGTCAGAATAGCTTGCTTGCTTCTACAGAAATCCGTTGCTGTTTTTACTAGATTTCATTACATTTATGGTTGGCCAAAGAGGCATCTGACACCATCTCATCCCAGTATCAGGCAGGACTGGGGGCTCACAACGCCTTCCCACAAGGTGGGGTCTGCTTCTGCCCTTGAGTGGTGCTTCCCGAGGCCTTGCCCTGGGAGCCGGGCTCGGGTGTGTGCCTGAGGCCCTGGGGAGGAGCCCGTCTAAATTCCTGACCCACAGAATCTGGGATCGTGAGAGAAGAACCACTTGTTTGGGGCCCGTTGCCTTTCTCTCTATTCTTCTGTCTTCAGCAGTGCTTTTTTTTTTTTTTTTAATTTATTTATGTATTTTTGGCTGTGCTGGGTCTTCATTGCTGCGTGCGGGCTTTCTCTAGTTGCGGCGAGCGGGGGTTACTCTTCTCTGTGGTGCACGGGCTTCTCATTGTGGTGGCTTCTCTTGTTGCGGAGCATGGGCTCCAGGCGCACAGGCTTCAGTAGTAGCAGCACGCGGGCTCCGTAGTTGTGGATCGCGGGCTCTAGAGTGCAGGCTCAGTCGTTGTGGCGCACGGGCTTAGGTGCTCTGCGGCATGTGGGATCTTCCCGGACCAGGGCCCGAACCCGTGTTCCCTGCATTGGGACTGGATTCTTAACCCCTGCGCCACCAGGGAAGTCCCAAAGTTTGATTCTTGAGCTTGAGTTTCAGTGTCCTCTGGACGCACTGCTGCCCGCCCGCCCTCACCCACGTGCTCCTGGGGCGGTGTCAGGGGGCAGGTACCAGGCCAGAGGCCACCTGCCCTGCCGCCCCTGACCTGCCGTCTGGCCACCCCTGGCCAGCAGGTCCAGGATATCAGGGTGGCCCAGTCCCGGGCCCAGGGTGGGGAGGTGGCAGCGGTGGCCAGGCTGCAGCCACGGCTGATGTCCACCCTGTGTACAGAAGGCCCCCGTGCCCGCCCTCCTAGCTCAGCCCGGCCTCCTGTGGTGCATCCCTGTGTCAAGGGAGTGGGACTGGCCCACTCTCGGCTGGCAGGGTGGCCCCAGGCCGGGCATCCCGTGCTCGATGAGTCCTCCTTGTGCCGGCCTTTGGTGCCTGCTGCACTCAGGCCCGGGCCCACATTCACACCGGCCCCGGGGCCCCTCCAGCTCCAACTTGGGCTTCCCGGGTGTCTGCCCATGGCCACGGAAGCTGGTGACCTTGTCTGCGCGTGCAAGTCTGGCCTTGGCACGTCCAGCAGTCACTATAGAGTGTCCCTCAAGGCCTGGGCCACGGCCTTGAACAGGGCCAACATGGTCACCGCCGGGAGCTGGCAGCATCGGGAGGGGACAGACAGCAAACCCGCATCCCACGTGCAGTGTCAGGTGAGGGGGCCAGGCCGGCGGGTCAGCGGTGCTTGGGCAGCGGCTTGAAGGCCGAGGGTGTGAGTGACCGAGGGTGCAGCCTGGCCTGTGGCTTGGACCCAAAAGGGCACTGGGCCTGGGGGAGCCGTGAACAGAGAGCAGCCTGGCCCAGCCTGACCCTGTCAGACTTTCCTCGCACTGGGCGTGGTCTGCAGGGCCCGGTGGGGAAGAGGGAGACCTTTGGCTGGCGCCTGCTAGACCCTTTCTTTTGGTAGGAATTCTTGACTTAACCGTGTCCCGAGGTCATCAAGGTATTGTGCAGGTGCCCTGCAGAGGCTCTGTTGATCTGTCTTCACAGTGAGACCTACAGCCCCTGGTGGGTTTTCTGTAGTGTGAGATGGGGGTGACATCCCAGTGTTTTCAATAAGGTTATACCGTTTCCCACACTGGCCGCACACCCTGGCCCATGCAGGCCCAGTTCCGGCTCCAAGTCCCCCCTCCCTGGGCCACGCGCTCAGCCTTAAGCCCTGTGGCTCTGGTCTGGGTGGGGCGGTCCTCTGGTTTCCCTGTGGTTAAGGTAGTCCCCCCGCACCCGCGCACACTGCTACTGTTTGGGCTAGAGTGCGGGGTCTGCTGATTAATTCGGGGAGAATTGACAACTTTGCATATTACTGATTGTACGGTATAGCCCGTCCTGAATCAGGTCTTTTAATTTTGTTCTCAGTGACGTTTTTTTTTTAATTTATTTATTTTTGGCTGTGTTGGGTCTTCGTCACTGCACGCGGGCTTTCTCTAGTTGCGGCGAGCGGGGGCTCCTCTTTGTTGCGATGTGCGGGCTTCTCATCGCGGTGGCTTCTCTTGTTGCGGAGCACGGGCTCTAGGCGCGCGGGCTTCAGTAGTTGTGGCTTGCGGGCTCAGTACTTGTGGCTTGTGGGCTCAGTAGTTGTGGCATACGAGCTCAGCAGTTGTGGCTCGCAGGCTCTAGAGCACAGGCTCAGTAGTTTAGGCGCACGGGCTTAGTTGCTCCGCAGCATGTGGGATCTTCCCAGACCAGGGCTCGAACCCGTGTCCCCTGCACTGGCAGGCGGGTTCTTAACCACTGTGCCACCAGGGAAGCCCCTCTCAGTGACATTTTATATTTTTTGCATGAACTTCTTTTGTTACATTTATCCCAAGAAATTTGAAATTTCTTATGTTACTGTACCTGATATTTTTTAAATGTACATTTCTGTCTGTCGCTAGTATGGAGGGAACAGTGGACTTTTTTTTTTTTTGGCCGCACCAAAGTGGCTTGAGGGATCTTAGTTCCCCAACCAGGGATTGAACCCGGGCCCCCTGCAATGGAAGTGCAGAGCCCTAACCACTGGACCACCAGGGAAGCCCCAACAATGGATTTCTTAATACTGGCCTTGTGTTCACCATCCATGCTGAAATAAGTCCATTGAGTAATTCTAATACTTGTCTTTAGATTCTTCATTGCTTTCTAAAAACATGAATCATTTGTTCAGTGCATAACGACGTTTTGGGGTATTGTTTTTACTTTTAAAGACTTTATTTTTTAGAGCAGTTTTCGGTTCACAGCAAAATGGAGAAGAACGTGGAGATTTCCCATCTACCCCTGCCCCTCCCACACGCACCACCTCCCCCATTATCACCATCCCCACCAGATGGGGCACTTGTGACGAGTGAGGGATCTGCCTGGACACGCCATCATCACCCGAATTCTGTAGTCTACCTTGGGGCTCACTCCCGGCGTTGTGCGTTCTGGGGGCTTGGACGGTGCAGAGTGGCGTGTTATCTGCCGCTGAAGGTTCACAGAGTCGTTTCACTGCCCTGAACGCCCCACGCTCTCCTGTTCATCCTCCCTCCCCCAAGCCCCCGGCAACTCCTCATCTTCATACTGACCCCGTAGCTCTGCCTTTTCCAGAGCGTCAGAGTTGGAATCATACTACGAACGTAGTCTGCAGCCTTTCCCGATTGGCTTCTCTCACTTAGTAATTGGCATTTAAGTTTCCTCCCTGTCTTTTCATGGCTTGATGGCTCATGTCTTTTTAGTGCTGAATAATATTCCATTGTCTGGAGGGACCAGAGTTTATTGGTCAGAGTGCTGATGCTTTTATTTTTTCCTTTCTAAGTTCTGTGGCCTTAATTTTTCCCTCTTGCTGCTCTGCACCGGCGTCGAATACACAGTGGGCATCCTCCTGGTGTTTGCGTCTTAGGGGAAAGCTTTCAGCATTGAGTTCTGTGTTCGCTGAGGGTTTTTTATAGGTGCCTTTTGTCTGGCTAAGGAAGTTCCTTCTCTTCTAGTTTGCTGAGTTATTTCTTAAATTATAACTAGAACTCTCCCTTAAGAGATGCTTGTTCTGCCTCTATTGAGAGCATCATGTGACTTCCGTCCTTTATTTCACTAGCGAACCAGGCTGATGGACCTTCAGTTGTCCAGCCAGCCTTGCTTTCTGGGACGGACCCTCCTGTGGTGTACACGGGCGTCTCTCCCGGGTCCCTGAGCCCGTGTGCTCGGGGGCTGTCCCCCAGGGTGTGGCTCAGGTCCCCAGCCTTTCCCTCCATCCCGCCTCCTGCATGGAGCCAGCAGGTTGCTGTCGTCCCCCTGATTCTTGGGTAGGTTCGCAGGTGAAGCCACCTGGGCTCCTGATCCCCCAGATTTGGCCGGGAGAGTCTGTTAGTGGCCTCCCCTGCCCCAGTGTGTGCACTGATGGTCAGGTCCTGACTCTGACGCCTGACCCCGACCCACACCATGTGAGGGCATGGCTGGGGTCCTGACCCCTGACCCTGACCCCCACCATATGCGAGGTGTGGCCGAGGTCCTGGCTAAGTGCCAGGGGCTTCTCCCACCCCTGGGCTGGGGTCGGGGACACACCGGGAGCCCAGACCCCCCTTGGCTGCTTTCCTTCCGGTCCTCCCTGGGCTCTGGGCCTTGGCGCCTGCTGGTTCTGAACAAAAGGGCCAGAAGGCTAAGACTCCGCGCTCCCAATGCAGGGGGCCCGGGTTCGATCCCTGGTCAGGGAGCTAGATCCCGCATGCATGCCGCAACTAAGACCCGGCGCAGCCAGGTAAATAAATACATACATACAGTGTGGTCATTCAGCTTAAAAAAAAAAAAAGAACCGGAAGGTTTGTCTGTAATTTCTCAGCGGGGCTGGAAAGGTTACAGCGCCTGGGCCTTTGAAGCAGAACTTGCAAGGCAAGGAGGGGCTGGGCCTCAAGCCTCGGGCTGCCAGGGAGCGGGGGTGGGGGAGTGGGTTAGGCCAGGGAGGTGCTGCTGAGGCTGGCAGGGCTGCAGTGAGGCGCTGGGGAGGAGGGAGCCCCGCCTGGAGTGCAGGGAGCGTGAGGCCCAGGGGCGGGCCCGCAGCCAGGGGGCGCTGGTGGCCATGGGCACCTCGGAGCTGGGTCCCTGGTCCCCTGGCCTCAGAAACAGCTTTCTTTCCCAAGCCAAGAGCTGGCAGCAGCGACCTTTCCAGGCCAGCCAGCTCTCCTTGGCACTGGCCTTGGATCTCGCCTGAGGGCGCCGGCCCTTTTCCAGCAGGAGGGTGACCCCGACCTCCCCTGTCCCGGCCAGCACTGGGCTGAGTGGCACCTGTGTCATGACTCCATGCCCCGTTCTGCAGCAGGGACAGCGGCTTCAGGGAGCAGCGGCCATGGGGGTGGGGAAGCTTTGGGGAGTGGCCAGCCTGCATGGGGCTCACCCGGGGCTGGGACAGGGCGGAGGGGAGACGGGGGAGACAGAGGCCGGAACCACCGCGGGGCCTCGGCAGGGGCCAGAGGCCAGACATGGTGGGCGGTGGATGGGTTTGTGGGCGGCATACCCCGCTGGGCGGGCCTTGCCCGTGGGGGGCCAGGTCAGTACTGCCGACTTAGCCCCGGCGGCCGACGCCCCTTCCCCACTCACACGGCCACTCTGAACCCATCGCGGCTTAAATCTGAGGCCAGGCTCCCTGAGCTGTCAGGGGAAGCCCACCCCGGTGGGCACTGCGGGAAGCAGCCCTGCTGGGTGGCCGGGCCACGGTCCTGGGGAAGGGGCAGAGAGGGCACAAGGGGCCGTGGGCGCTGGGCGGCATCTGCGGGAGCCCCCAGGCCTCGGCTCCCACCTGCCCCTCAGCCCCTCCTCGGCCCTTGTCTTGTCCCTTCAGGCCGGGACCCGCTGCTGTTCCTGCAAACTCTGCAGACGCTGTGGTCCACTCGGGAGCTGGGACAGGTGAGTACTCGGGGTGTGGGCACCGGGCCGCCAGCCTCGGCAGGCTGCCGTGTCCAAATGTTCTGGGGGGTGCATGGGATTGGAGCCGTGGGACAAGGCCTGCTGGACGCTCAGAGCAGGCAGGGAGGGCCTGTGCCCACCACCAGCTTCCGGGCAGTGCGGGGCACCTGCCGGGCCTCGCCCGCTGCCCCCTCTCCCAGAGGGGCAGCAGGACAGCCCGCCTGGACAGCGGGGGGGATGCGTGTGGTCCGGCGGGAGGAGCTCTGGCGGGGAGGCTGCCAGGGTCTTCCACGGCCACTTGGGGGTCCTGCAGTGGCAGCTGCCACTGCCCAGACAGTGTCCCGCCGTGACCTGTGCCAGGAGGACAACTCTGCCTCGTGGCCCCCGGGGGTGGTGCAGTTACTGGCCCTCGGCCGCTCCTTCTCTGCACTTTGCTCCCTTGAGGCATCGAAAGGGCGAGGGAGGCTGCCCTGGCTCCTGGGGAGGACGGGCCCACGCGTGGCTGGAGGGAGAGGGCCACATCCTCTAGTGCCAGCCTGGCCTCCAGCTGCCCGCCGAGGGTGGGCAGGGCACCCAGACCTGGGGCAGGCTGGTCGGGCAGGCGTCCGGAGCAGGTAAACTCCAGGCTTCCACAGCGCTTCGTGGTGGAGGAGGGCCAGCAGCCGGCCTCCTCTCTGGACAGGCCTGGGCTCCCCGCACGGCTGGGCAGATAACGGCCCATCCACTGCCTGCGCTTAGGCCTGAAAGCAGCCATCTCTAGCCATCAGCTGGAGAATCCAGAGTTTTTGCAAAAGCCAAACGTTTTTTGATTTTCCAGTTTCGTGCCCTGTGGCTTGAGGGTGAGACTCAGGCAACAGGGCTGTGGTGCTGTCCAGCCTTCCAGTTGGGAGCGGGCTCATTGCGAGGTGGTATCCTCTGCCCTGGTGTCACGGTGAGCCGGCTTTTGAGCTCGGCTCGACCCTCCATCCCTGTTCACTGAAGGCAGGAGCCAGAGGCCTACAGAGCCTGAGGATGAGCCGGGCGCTGCCCCGGGGGCGGCGGGGCGCGGGTGGGGGGCCTGCAAATGAAGCCTGGGGGCTGTCTCCCTAATGGTTGTTCCTGGGCAGAGTGTCTGTCTCTGGATTTATTTCTCTGGGAAGCGTCCGCTTCCTCCACGTCACCACGGTTTCGGCCGGAGGTCCCTCCCGGTTCCTGACCCCCACGTCTCCCGGCAGCGCTGCCCCTCCCCCGGCCTTGTGCCTCTTTCCCGGGGCTGATCTCAGCCTTCAGGTAGCCGGACGCCCAAGGCATCGGTTTCCAGGAGTCTTGGTTTCCGATGCTGCATTTAACGCCGCACCTTCCCCCCGAGTTCTGTTCGTCACCAGTTTGATGTGTAGGGGTCCATCGTCCTTCCTGTTTTCTGATTTTCGCTGTGTCTCCTTCGACTAACCTGTTGTTCATTTCCAGAGAAACACAGGGCTGTGTCTTGATGTCGGTTAGCTGTTTGTTTCTGGCTGTGAAGGAGCCCGGTCCATCTGTTTTGGTTTTTGCACAGGACAGGCTTGTTTTGTGGTTAGTTATATAAACACTCTGAGTTCCCTACTTGGCGAAAGCTCCCGCCTGGAGGGGACGCACGTTTGCTCACCAGAGCTTGTCCCGGGTTCCTGTGAGCAGCCGGCACCACGCTGTGCAGTGTCCAAGCTCGGACGTGTGTGATAACCAAGGGGCCAGCAGCTGGAGATGCGGTGGCTCAAGCCCTGAGGACGAGGGTGCAGATGAGCCAGAGTGTCCTGGGGGCCAAGAGAGCAGCAGAGGGACCCAGGGGGCGGCCGCATGAGAGCAGCTGGAGCCCAGCAGAGCACGTGGAGTTTTCAGGGACCGGACAGGACAGGGAATCTGGAGATGAAGGGGAGGCCAGAGGGCAGGAGGGAAGGAGAGAGGAGGTCAGCCAGGGTCTCAGAGCCAGGGGTCCGGAGGATCGTCGACATGGACGCTGAGCCCACCACGCCAAGGGCAGGGGTAGCACGGGAGGGCGACACGGGGCCAGACGTAAACCCCTGGGGCCCAACCCTGGTGCGTGAGTTCCACCCCAGGGCTGCAGCTACCGCTCAGGGCCACTTGCGTCTTATTCTTTACTTATTTATTGATTATTGTTTTCTTTTATAATTCTAGACATATTTGTATTCTATTTTCATCCCCAAACCGATATCTTACTGTTCTTTACTCTTAGAGCTTTGATCACCCTGCTTGCGGTCACCACTCATGGTGAATTGTTCCTTGTGTGTCCTGTTGTTTTTCATTGTGAGCTCACCTTAGTGCAGCTTTTTCCCTCTGGTGGCTGAGGGCCAGGTCCCCAGGGCCGTCCCCAGGACCAACCTCCTGAGCACACGTGGAAATAAATCCAAATCCAAAGGCCAGAGCTGGGTCCTTCTAGACCTTTCCTTTTCCCAAGCAAGGGGTGTGGTGCTGATGGAGACCCCGCCCCCTCCTCGGGCAATGCTGGACGGTGGCCCCCAGGCTCTGTGGGAACCGCAGCCCCCTGCTGGTGCCCTTCAGACCCCTGAGAGGTGTGTGTGGCCTTGCCTATCCATCCTGGAGGGTGACAGCTGTCCTCAGGGTCTGTTTGAGGCCATCTCAGGTGAGTTCCAACAGCCACAGCGAGGGCAGCCCCTTCCAGAGAGCCCTTGGGTGCGAGGGCTTCGGCCCCCTGAGCTCACACTTGACGCCTGCAGGTCCACCCTGGGCCGGACCCCAGCAGGTCCTCGGTCAAGGGAGCTGCAGTGACCTGAACCACTGGAGCGGGCAGGGCGTGGCGGGCTGGCCGTGCACAGGGCCCTGCTGGTCACGCAGAGGATGCCCAGCTGCTCTAGAGACGGTGGTGAGATGCATGTTGTCCCCCTGGACGTGGGTGTTGGGGACACACCTGTTCTTGTCTCTGTCTTGCAGCTCTTACGTGTCCCCCAGAGCTTCCCAGCACAGGAGGTAGAAAAGTAAACAAAAGGCATTTTTCAGTTGGGGTTTTTTCCTTTTTTCCGTCTCCTGTTGCTTGCTGGGCCCTGCTGACCTGTCACCATCTCTGAAGGGCCAGCGCCATGTCCCATGCATGCCACGCGGGTGGTCAGGGCACAGAGGAGCTCCGCCCAGGGTCTGGCCTGGGGAGCAAGCCCCAGCCTTTGCAGGACCATTGGCCTGGACGGTCCCTGTGCCCGGCCTGGGTGCAGCAGACCAGGAAGGTGTGGGCGGCTCCGTGTGGGTGGGGGAGGCCAGCAGGAGGACTCACCACAGCGAGGCCTTGTGTCTCCACAGCTCCGGGAGGAAGCCCAGAGGGGATTCGCCACCCTGGAGGACCCGCTCGCCGCCCTCCTGGACATGCTGGACAGCAGCCGGGGCTGGCGGGGGAAGGGCCCCTCCCTGGAGGCCTGGGTCGCCCGTGAGCTGAAGCGCTGCTTGCAGGCACAGCTGTGCCCGGGGCCGGCCCGGGTGAGCCCTGCCCGCGGCCCACAGCCTGCCCCTTCCCAGCCCGTCCCGGCCTCGGCACGGGGTTCCCACGCGCACCTGGCCTGTGGAGGTCGCCCACGGTGGTCGGGGGCTCTCGGCCTCCCGAGAGCCACACGCCGGGCCGACCTCGGCTCCCTTGCCTGTGCCCCTGCCAGCCAGCCCCTGCTCACCCACAGCATCCATCCACTGGCTCTGGGCTGCCAGGTGCTGGCCGCACGGGGCCTGCCCAAGCACCAACCCCCCACCCGCATCAGGCCCCGCGACTCCGGTTGCCGCCTCCACTGAAGCTGGGTCTGGGGCCTCCAGGGCAGCCCAGGGCTGAAGCAGCTGCAGGCCCGTGCGGTCAAGCTCCTTGCCGAGAGCCCCCCCGGCCTCGTGGAGCCGCTGGTCAGCATCTTCCAGCTGCAGGATGCAGACCGGAGCCCCCTTCTGGCTCACGTCCACCGGCTGCACCAGGAGGGCAAGTTCAAAGAAGTGAGTGAGACCCTCCCTGTGGCTCTGGGCCTCTCGTCCACGGGCTGGGCCTCCACGTGGGTCAGCGGGGTGGGAAGGAGCCAGGCTGGGGCTCGAGGCGCCGAGCCCAGAAGTGTCCCCTCTGCCCTCCAGCGTGGGGGGCCTTGCAGGGGGCCTCATGTCTGGTGTGCAGGCTTTTGGGGACCAGCTGCCCTGGGGACCATGTCAGGTTCGTGCCTGGCGTGGCAGCCCTGGGAGCCCCTCGCGCTGACCGACTGAGAAAGAGGCTGGGTACAGCCGCCCACACCCTGCCTGGTCTGCACCACGCTCAGGGCCCTTCCTCCCCAGGTGCCCGCCGGCCTCTCCCCCTCGGTCAGCGGCGTGGGGACGCCCAGCTCTGGCCCAGAAGCCCGCGTGGCTGCGGCCCAGCTCCCTTTGTTAACTCCCAGAATTGCTCTCCGGGGGGCTGAGAAGTGCAGGTGTGGGAGAAGCTAGCCGCAGTCTCTGTGCCCCGGGCCCAGATCGGACCCGGGGCCCGCTTCTGTCTTCTCCTGCCCCAGCCCAGACTCACCCAAAGGTCACTTGGTCCTGTGCTGGCCTGGCCTGGGGGCGGGGGAGCCGAGGCCCCTTGGGGCCCAGCTGCTGCTCCATGAGGACAGACCCTCCCTGCGTGGGGGGCCCTGAAGCCACCACCACGCCAGGCCGGGGGACTGGCCACTGTGCTCTAGTCCTGGTCGGTAACAGAGCACGTGGCCGGGCATCTGTAGGCTGCGCTCGGCCTGCCGGACCTGTCGTGCGGCCCTGCCCCAGAGCCGGGGGCCACACTCTGGGTGGTGCCCACCCCTGCCTGTTTGCTGGGTCCCTCGGACTGGGTCGGGCCAGTGGTGGTGACCCTGTGAGGGTCTGCGTCCCGAGGGCCCTGCTGGCTCCCACCCCAGGGACCGGCCCCGGCACACCTGTGGTTTTCAGAAGATCGGTTGTGGGGCATCGTGCCGGCTTGGGGCGCATACTCTCAGCCACGTCAGTCAGGAGTCCCCAGCGTGTGCGACGCATGTGGGTTGGGGGCCGCCCGAGGGGGAGGGCGTTTTGCTCCCTTGTCGTGGGCAGGGCTGGGCCAGGAGCGCAAACGTGGGGCTTAGTGGCTGCAGGTCTCTGGGTGGGAACTGGGGGCTTTGGGAAGCTTGGTGGGTTTGCTGAGTGTCCTTCGTGAGCAGCAGCGGTCCTCGTTGAAGCCTAGAAGGTTCTGAAATGCAGAGGGAGCTCTGGGGTCCTGGCCCAGTGTTCACGGCGGATGACCCGTCTGCGGCTGAGGTCGGGAGCGGCGGGGCCCACGGGCGAACAGCAAGGGGACGCTGTCAGCGAAGCTCTGAGCTGTGCTGCAGGCGCAGGGGGCCCGGGGCTCCGCGCACCCCGAGATGCGAGACACGCGATGCCCTTGCAGGGCAGGGGAGGTGGGGCAGCCCTGGGCGCCCGGCTCAGAGGTGCCCTCTCCCTGGGTGGTGAGTCCAGCACCCAGGGCCCAGAGGCTCCCTCCGGGCTCACCTCCCCCGCTGCCTCGTGGGGCCCAAAGGTTCTGGTGCCAGGGTGCCAACAGGTGTGGGGTGCGGCCGGCACCCAGGCGGGTCCCAGGCCCACCCCACACGGGGCCCTCTTCCCGGTGAGGAGGCCCGTCAGAACGGAGGTGTGCGGCCCAGGCCCAGGTGGAGGATATGCTGCGCGGCCACGATGGCGGCGCAGGGACCGGGCGCCCGGCTGCTCGGGGCTTGGCCGGGGCTGAACGGGCGCCGAGGCAGAAGGCGGGCTGGTGTGTCGCGTCTCCTGTTACGCTCAGGCCTTTCAAAGAGCGTCTGGGCGGCCGAATGCGCCTCCCTCGCGCTCTGAGGCAAGACTTGCACACAAAGGGGGCTCTTGTCCCGCACAGGCCCCTCGTGCGAAGAAAGGCCATTGTCCCCGAGCGGGGCGGCCCGGCAGGCAGTGCACGCTCCAGTGCCCACCGCCGCGCCGCCGAGGGGCCGCCTTCAGGCCTGTCCGCTCGGATTAGCGGGGACTCACGACTTAATGCGCTGCGATATTTCATGTCGAGGGCGGCGGCCGGCCCCAGCCGCGTGAATGCCTGCTTTTGTCTGCTGCATTATTTTATTTACATTTTTTAAACAGCTTATCAAGGTAAAAAGATAGCTTTGCTTTAAAGAAAAAAAAAAAAAAAAAGCCCCTTGGCTCCAGGCCCACGCTGAGCCGCCGAGGATGGAAGGCCCGTCCCGGGGCCCGGCTGCCGGGTCTGGGCACCTGCCCAGCCCCCCTGCTGGCCGAGCGGGCAGTCGGGCGTCCGTGCAGGGCTCTTCCCGCTGCCACCGCCCCAGCCCCTCTGGTCTTCTTAGTTACTTTCCCCCAAAGCGGCAGCTCTGGGGTCCGTCTGGTCAGAGGTCCCTGCAGCCCCGCCCTGACCCGGCCGCAGGGCAGCCCTCTTCTCGGTGGCTGGCTCTCAGCCTCCTGGGTGGAGGTCAGGGAGGCCCGCAAGGTGCCAGGTGGGCCCAGCCCTGGGCAGGGTCCATCTGCAGGTCCCGGCCACTACCCTCCTCCCATTGGGCCTGCTTCCCGGCCTGGATCTGGAGCCAGTTGCAGGCACCTGGGCCAGGAGGCGATCTTCCTGCATCCGGGGGACCCCCCACGTGGCCACGTGACCGGTGGTAAGCCGTGGGCAGCCTGGCCTGCTGGCCCCTCAGCAGAAGCTCAGACTGAGAAGTGACCAGAATCCAGTTCTCAGCCAGGCCCAATAGATCCAAGGTGGAGTCCAGGCCCGGGGCTTCCTAGAGGAGGTTCTGCTGCCAGGTAACCGTGGCCGCCCCCGATGGAGTTAGGGCGCCCTCCCGTGGCCGGGTGAGGCCAAACGGTCCCCCTCCTCGTCTTGTGCTCCCCCCAGCCTCCAGGCTACAGAGCTCCCCAGGGCTGCGGGGGCAGGATGAGGGCACTTCCCAGACTGTCCCTGGGGGTGTCCATGGCCTTCCATCCCTGGATGCTCTGGCCACACCCCTCAGTGTCCACGCAGGCTGCCTGGCCAAAAGAGGGCAGCCTGGGTGCACAGAGGCTCCAGCCTGGCCTGGATAGAGGCTGGCTGCCCTGGAGGAAGCAGGCAGAGAGAAGGGGACCCAAACCCTCTGACAGTGTCGTCCTGTGGCCAGGGCTGTGCACCCCTCACGGGGAGGGGGGCGGGGGGGGGCCTGTTGAGGAGCTGGATCCTCAGACGATGGAGGGCGACAGCCCAGCAGAGTGGTGAGAAGCAAGGGGCTCACCTCGCTGCCCCCTCCCCTCCCCACTCCCAGGTCACTGCCCAGGGCCTGATCTGGGGGGTGGGAGGGTCCCAGGCCCCAGTCGTCCCTCCCACGGCCCCTTCTCCAACCGTGGCATGGCCCGATCAAGCCCAGGTCCAGATGTTGGCCCTTCAGTAGCCTGGAAGCCAGGCAAGGGTCCAGCAGATGCAGGACACTGGGGACGGGGTTCTGACCACCCCAGGTTCTGAATAAAGTGTGTGAGGCCGCCAGTGTGTGCACTCTGGCCTTCTTGGATGAGGGTCCGGATCTCCCTCAAATTCTCGGGGGTTTCCCATCCAGAAGAGGTCAGTGCCATCCTGTGAGGCTGGAGTGGTGCCCAGGAAGGCCCCCACGTGGTGGCACCTGCACCCCGCCCGCAGCCCTGGGCCCCTCCCCCAAGCCCTGCACCCTCTCCTCAACCCTGGCTCCTTCCCTGGCCCCGCCCCAGCCCCTCCCCCATTTCTGCTTTATCCCCCTCGCCCAAGCCCTGCACCCCCCTTCCCCTGGCCCTGGGCCCCCTGGGGCCTGGCCGAGGCTGAGCTCCTGGACACCGGCCAGGCCGCGGGGCGCCGGGTCAGTGCCGCGCAGGGAGAGGCCCCCCAGCCCCGCGCCCCCGCCGCGCGGTCCAGGCCTCCACCGGAGCAGCCTTTCCCAGGCCGCTATTTTGGGCCTTCTGTGAGCTGCAGGGGGCGGGGCCGGGCTGCCTGGCTAGTTATTTTTGCTCATAATGGGAGCACGATGTATGGAAATTATTAATAGCAGAGCGGCCTGCGCTACGTGCGGGCGCCCAGGGCCGCGCCGTTTCCTCTGCTGAGTCGGGGGAGGGTCACGCGCCCCGTGTAGGGCAGGCCGCCCAGCGTGCCCACTGCCCCATATGAGGGGCTGCCTGGGGGGGTGGGGGGATTCAGAGCCTCTTGCTCTGTGGCTCCTGGGGCAGCTCTCTGCATGCCCCCAATGCACGACCACGCCGGTCCCGCTGCCATGGACCTGGAGCGAGCCTGCCCCATCCGACGACTCCTAGTCACTGGGGCACGTGGTGTGGCTTGTGGAAAGGGTTCAGAGGCCTGAAGGAGCCCCGCGTGTCAGGGCCGCCGCAGTCCCTCGGGCCTCCCGGGCGCACAGAGTGCCCTCGCTGTGGGCACTGTGAATGGTGGGAGGGGATGCTCCCGGGAGGAGTGGGGCAGCAAGAGCAGACGTGGGGAGAGCGGTGTGCACCGTGTCCAGGCCCCATGGCTAGGTGATTGGGGCTTCTGTCCCTCCCTCTGCGTCCTCCACCCTCTCGTCGGCAAGCCAGGACCCAGGCCACCTGGCTCAGCTCGCACTTTGCGGCCCCGACCAGGCCGCACCCCAGTCTGGAGGGCACAGGGGTCGTTCCGCCCACCCCACCGCGTGCGGGGCCTGGCTCAGCACAGGGGGGCTTGTAGGCCGGAGCACTGCCTGGTTTCCGGCCGCTTGGCTGGGGGCCACATGGCTGGAACTGGACCGGCCCCGTGGCTGTGCCTGCAGCGACTGGGCGGTGACGGGGTGGGAGTGGGGGCTGCAGAAGGGCGGGAGCCCCTACCTGTGGCACCTCCTGTCCCCCCCAGACCCAGTGTCATCCGGTCCCTCTGTTTCCCAGGCCATCGTGCTGGGCGCAAAGCTGCGGCTGCAGGCAGATCTTGATGTTGAGAAGGTAAGGATCATTCTCATGCAAACTGCGTAGCTTCCAGCTCCAGGGCTCCAGAAACATGGTGTAGGGAGGGTCCCTCCCACTGAGCCCTGAGCTTTGCTCCCCACACGGCTGGGCCCAGGGCGCTGGAGGGCAGGGGTCACATGTGAAGGGTCCAGGACTAGGGGAAGGGAGGGGCCAGCAAGGGCCTGTGCGTGGTCAGCAGGCATTGGTGTAACGTGCTCAGAAAGTGGCCGATCGCCAGGAGCTCACCAGGCATTCCGTCTCTGCTCTGGGGTGGCTGGAAGGGTTCTCAGGAATGGGGGCTCCCACAAGGACCGCCCACCTGGAGCCCTGGTTTAGCAGATGGGCCTCCGTCCAATCTGGGCTCCAGACAGCCTGCCCTATGTGACCACCTGGGGGAGGGGAAGGCAGGTGAGGAGGGGTCTTCCACAGGGGCCACTGGGAGGGGGCTTTGTCGAGACCTGGTTCTTTCAAGGGGAGTGGCCCGTATGTCCCAGTGCCCAACACCACGGCCAGGGGCTCCCTTGTGGCCTCCCTGAGGGCTCAGGCAGTTTGGGGGTCTTGTGAGCTTGCGCCAGGCCACGTGCTGGTGCCGTCTTGCCCGTGACGGGCATTTCTCGGCCAGCAGGGCCATGGCCGGTAGTTGGTCGCCATCCTGCCCACCCCACCCTGCTCGGTGAAGACAAGGGGACAATGGGGCCCCTCCAGGAGCCCCCTTGTGTCTTGGAGCCTCTCATCCTTCCCGATGGAGATGGGGTGACCACAGAGCCCCCCAGGGACGGGGCCCAGGGAGCGGCGGGGCCTGTGTGTGTGTGTGCAGGGGCCCGAGCATGGGGCGCAGGCCGTGAGCCGGGCGTGGGGCTTCGCGAGGTCCTCAGACACTTGGTTGGGCCCCCAAGCTCCCCGGGGGAGGCAAGTTGCATGGACCAGCCTCCAGGCCCCTTGGTTCTGATGCTCTGGCCACTCCCTGCACTGGGCTGGAAGTGAGTCCGGGGTCTTGGGTGCGGTGGAGCTGCGGCCTGAAGGTGTGTTTCCCCGTAGATGTGCATCCCCCTGCTCCTCCAGGACAAGGCAGACCTTGTGGAACGCTACGTGGATGGCTTTCCCGACCTCCAGCGGAGGCTGCTGGCCCTCATGGACTCCTGGTGCCAGCCCGGCTTTGACATCAGAGTCGTCGCCAGGTGAACCCCACGGGGGCCCGGGGTGGGGTGGGGGCAGGGACTTGGCAGGGGCAGTAGGCACGTGGGAAAGTCACCCCACACCGCCTCTCCAGGTGAGCCCCGGCCAGGTGGGCAAGAGACCTGCTTCAGGAGCCAGGAGGCCGGGTTTAATGCTCTGAGACGAGCACAAATAATTCTCCACGGGGACTCCTTCCTTACGCAGTCCTGCAAGTCATATCTCTTATCCATTCACTGGTTCCTTCGTTTCTTCCTTCATGTAATAAATGTTTGTGGAGCGCCTGCTGTGAACCCTGTCCCAGCAGTTACAGAGAAGAGGCAGCATGCCAACAGGGAGCCCACGTGTGTGCGTGTGCGTGTGACCCCAGGGCGTCCCCTGAGCATGGGCATCTGGAAGGAGAAGGGCTTCCTCCCACCTCCCTGGGGTGGCTGAGGGGAAGTGCACTGCGACTGCCAAGGCTCCTTGGCCACCTGTCCCTCAGCAGGCAGCGGGGCTGGGCGCCCTGTCCGTGCGCCCTGCAGCCCGGACCCTCTCACTTGAGAGTCAGGCCTTGGGCTCTGGCGGCAGGCCTCCCTGGACCCTCCCTCCCCTGGAGCTGGGTGTTTTCCTCGTCCCTAAAATGGGACTAATTCTGTCTCAAAGGGCTGTCGTGACTTCACACCCTACGAAGTGAACAAAGCAGCAGGCCAGGCACACGTTGTGTTGCTGCCACTGCTTTTATTATGCACTAAAAAGGAGAGAGAAATATAGGTGGAGCAGTACGGACGGGGAAGGGGGGAGACACACGGGTGGAGAGTGGGGGGCCCGTGAGTTCGATTTAACACGGATATTTAATGGTTTTTTTAAATGTCCTCATGCTGTGCTCTGAAAGGGCTCAGAAGCGATGACCTCCCGTAGCGGTGAGCACACCTAGCAACCAGATCTTGGTTTCTAGATGCCATTCTCCACTCAAAGGAACAAAGGCTCCTTGGGGAGTAGACTGAGAATGGAAACAATAATAGAGCATAAAAATACCTTGGATTTTTAAAAATGCACGAGTCGGGGCTTCCCTGGTGGCGCAGTGGTTGAGAATCCGCCTGCCAATGCAGGGGACACGGGTTTGAGCCCTGGTCAGAGAAGATCCCACGTGCCGCAGAGCAACTCACCCCGTGCGCCACAACTACTGAGCCTGTGCTCCAGAGCCTGCGAGCCACAACTACTGAGCCCATGTGCCACAACTACTGAGGCCCGCGTGCCTAGAGCTCCGTGCTGTGCAACAAGAGAAGCCCGTGCACCATAACGAAGAGTAGCCCCTGCTCACTGCAACTAAAGAAAGCCTGTGTGCAGCAACGAAGACCCAACGCAGCCATAAATAAATAAATAAATATTTTTAAAAATGCATGAGTCTGGAGTGATGCTCAAAGGCAGGGAGCAAAACTCTTTTACAGGGTATGTCAGCTAATAAATGGAAAGGAATGATAAAGTTAGAAATCACCATTTTGTAACTTCCAATAAAATAATTGATTTAGGCACAGATCATAAAGAGATGCTAAGAAAGAAAGAGATAAATACAAATTACCCATATCAGGAATGAAAAGTAGAACGTCACTACAGACCTTACAGACTTTAAAATGGTAATAAACGTTGTTTACAACTTGATGCAAATACATTTAACAGTTTAGATGTAACAGACCAAATTCTTGCAAAACACAACTTACAAAACTGAAAAAATAGAAAATTTGAATAGTCCTACATCTATTAAATAAATTGCATCTGTAGTTTAAAACTTTACCACAAAGAAAACTATGGATTTAGATGGCTTCACAAGTGAATTCCTTCAAGTGTTTAAGGAAGAGATCGTACCAATCTTACACAAATTCTTCCAGAGAATGTAAAAAGAAAGAGCACATCCCAACTTTTTTTTCTTTTTTTTGGCTGCGTTGGGTCTTCGTTGCTGCACAGGGGCTTTCTCTAGTTGCAGCGAGTGGGGGCTACTCTTCATTGCAGTGTGCAGGCTTCTCATTGCGGTGGCTTCTCTTATTGCAGAGCACAGGCTCTAGGCATGCGGGCTTCAGTAGTTGAGGCACGTGGGCTCGGTGGTTGTGGCACATGGGCTCTAGGTGTGCAGGCTTCAGTGGTTGCAGCACGTGGGCTCAGTAGTTGCGGCTTGCGGGCTCTAGGGCGCAGGCTCAGTAGTTGTGGCACGCGGGCTTAGTTGCCCCGAGGCCTGTGGGATCTTCCCGGACCAGGGATGGAACACATGTCCCCTTCATTGGCAGGCGGATTCGTAACCACTGGACCACCAGGGAAGTCCCCAACTTGTTTTATTCAGCTAGTTTAAGGCTTGATACCAAAACTCGAAAAAGACATTAGGAGAAAGGAAAATTAAAGTGCAGTGTATCTCATGAACATAGGTGCAAAAATACTAAACAAAATATTAGCAATCAAATCAACTAATATATTAAAGAGTTAAGAAAATGAGAAGACAAGCTCAAAGTGCGAGAAAATATTAGCAAAGACACATCTGATAAAGGACTGTTATCCAAAACATAGAAAGTTACCTTAAAACTCAGCAGTAGGAAAACAAACAACCATGGGCTTCCCTGGTGGCGCAGTGGTTAAGAATCTGCCTGCCAATGCAAGGGACACAGGTTTGAGCCCTGGTCCGGGAAGATCCCACGTGCTGCGGAGCAACTAAGCCCATGCACCACAACCACTGAGCCTGCGCTCTAGAGCCCACGAGCCACAACTACTGAGCCCGTGAGCCACAACTACTGAAGTTGCACACATAGAGCCTGTGCTCCACAACAAGAGAAACCACCCCAGTGAGAAGCCCGCGCACCGCAACAAAGAGTAGCCCCCATTCCCGGCAACTGGAGAAAGCCCGTGCGCAGTAACGAAAACCCAACGCAGACAAAAATAAATAAATTAAATAAATTTTTTTAGAAAAGAAAGCAAACCAACAACCTGATTTTAAAAACGGACCAAAGATCCAGATACCTCAGCAGAGAAGATACACGAATGACAGATAAGCACATGAAAGGATGCTCTACATCGTATGTCCTCGGGGAAATGCAAATTAAAACGAGATATCATGACACCCCTATTAGAATGGACAGAATCCAGAACACTGACATCGCCAAATGCTGGCGAGGATGTGAAGCAACAAGAACTCTCGTCACTGCTGGTGGGAATACGAAGTGCTACAGCCACTTTGAAGGACAGTCTAGTGCTTTCTTACAAAACTAAACACATTCTTGCCATGTGACCAAGCCATCGCACCACTTGGTATTTACCCAAAGACATTGAAAACCTCTGTCCACACAAAAACCTGCACTTGAGTGTTTACAGCAACTCTATTTATAGTTGCCGAAACTTGGAAGGAACCAAGATGTCCTCCAGTAGTTGGATGGATAAATAAACTGTGGTCCATCCAGACAATGGAATATTATTCAGAGCTAGAAAGACATGAGCCATCAAGCCGTGAAAAGACAGGGAGGAAACTTAGATGCAAATTACAAAGTGAGAGAAGCCAATCTGAAAAGGCTACTGCTGTGAGATTCCAGCTATATGACATTCTGGAAAAGGCCAAGCTATAGAGACAATAAAAGGATCAGGGATTATGGGGAGGGAGGAACGACTAGGAGAGCACCGAGGATTCTTAGGGCAATGAAACTACTCTGTATGTCACTGTAATCGTGGGTACCTAGGCATCTGTCAAAGCGCATAGAATGTACGACACCAAGAGTGGCCCCAAGGTAAACCATGGACTGTGTGTGGGTGAGGATGACGTGTCCAGGTGGGTTGATCACTGTGACAAGTGGACCATCTGGTGGGGATGCTGACAGTGTGTGTCATGGTCTGCTCAGCTTTGCTGTGAACCTAAAACTGCCCTAAAAAAAGTAAACTCGATTTTTTCAAAAGTTTATACACCATGATCTAGTGGGATTATTTAAGGAACGCGAGGTTGGTAAAACATTTAAAAATCCATCGGCATTCACCCTGTCAACAGATTAGATAACAAAACTATGTAAGCATCTCAACGTATATAAAAATTATAAAATTCAAACCTTATTTATGATAAAAACTCTCAGCAAACTACAAATATAAGGAAACTTCCTTTATCTGATAAAGGATAGTACTGAAAAGAAAACTACAGCAAGCATCATTTTTCTCTAAGTTTTCTTAAAGTATGATTACTATATAATGAACTCTGTGTTCGGAGTGTGTAATTTTGTAACTTTTGATGTATGTATGTGTCCACGAAACCATCACCACAATCCAGGTGCTGAGCACAACCCCCCCCCCCCCCCCCCCCCCCCCTCAGGACTGCTGATCTGCTTTGTGTTACTGTAGATTCCTTTTCATTTTCTAGTACATTATGTAAGTGGAGTTATGTCGTCTGGCTTCTGTCCCCCAGCACAATTATTCTGAGATTCATCCACGTTATTTCATTTCTTAGTGCTGAGTGGTGTTGCCGTGTGTAGCTGCACTATGGTTTGCTTATCCATTCACTCATCGATGGATATTTGGGTGTTTCCAGGTTTTGTCTGTTACACACACCGCTGCTGTGAACATTCGTGCCCAAGGCTTTGCGTGGACGTATGTCTTCATTTCTCTTGGGTGAACACCCTGGAGTGTGATGCCTGGGTCATGTGACGCGTGTGGATTAATTTTTTGAGAAACCATCAAACTTTTCCAGGGCGGCTGCACGTTTCCCATTCCCTCCAGCAGCAGGCGAGAATCGCCAGCCCCACATCCTCGCTGGCCCACGGCCTGGTCAGCCTGTAACGTCCGCGGTTCTAATGGGCATGGAGTGGTATCTTTTTGTGCTTTTGATTTGCAGTCCCTAATGACTAAGGGTGTGAAGTGTATTTTCATTTGCTTATTTGCCATCTGTGTGTCTTCTTTGGTGAATTAGCTGCTCCATCTTTTACACTTTTTTTTTAAAAAAATATTTTATTTATTTATTTAATTTGGCTGCACCGGTCTTATTTGTGGCAGGCGGGCGCCTTAGTTGTGGCATGCAAACTCTTAGTTGCGGCATGCATGTGGGATCTAGTTCCCTGACCAGGAATCGAACCCAGGCCCCCTGCATTGGGAGCTCGCAGTTTAACCACTGCACCACCAGGGAAGTCCCTACACACTTTTTAATTAGGTTGACTGTTTTCATTACTGAGTTTTGAGAGATTTAGAAATATAATCTGGGTTAAAGGCCCTTAACAGACATGTTATTTGCAGACGTTTCACCCTGTGGTGCAGCTTCTCATTCTTTTAATGATCTTTCAAAGAACAAAAGTTCTTAATTTGTTGAAGTCCAGTTTATAAATTAAAAAAATTTTTGCGTCATGCTTTTAGTATCATAGCTAAGAAATCTTTGCCTAACTCTAGGGCACAAACATTTTCTCCTGTTTACTTCTAGAAGTTTTATAATTTTAGGTTTTACATTTCAATCTATGGCCCATTTTTGGAGAATTTTCATATGGGGTGCTAGGTGTGGATTGAAGTTTTTTTGTTTTTTTTTTTAACAGCTGATGTCTAATTGTTCCAGCAGCATTTGTTGTAAAAGACTGTCCTTTCCCACAGAGTTGACTTTGTGCCTCTGTCAGGTGTCCATATATGTGTGGGTCTCTCTGTCCTCTTCTGCTCTGTCTGTGGCACATGTTCTGACCGCCGTAGCCTCACAGCAAGTCCTGAGTCAGACAGGGTTAGCCCTCCAATGCTGTTCTTCTGTGTCAAAGTTGTTTTTAATTATTCTGGGCCCTTTGCACTTGTATATGAATTTTAGAATCAATTTGACGATTTCTATCCCCCAGAAAAGCCCCCTGCGCAGGGGAACACAGCCAGGGCTCTGAGACCTCTGGCCAGTCTATCTGGAGCTTAGAGGAAGCAGAAAATCACTTAAAAACAAACACGAAAGCTGTAATTGAGGCCTGTAGAGAGTTTCTGTGTCTGAAATAAACAGAGCTATACAGAGGGCGCCTTTGGAATACAGAACAGACTTGTCAGTTAAAAACGTGATGGCAGAATGAAAGTCTCAATAAAAGGTTTGGAAGATAAACTTGAAGATATCTTCCCAATGTCATACAAAATAAATGAACAAAGAAGGAAAAGCAGAGAGGAAAGTTTTTTTTTAAAAAAATGGCAGATTCTGTCAAGAAGACCCAACATCCAAATAATGGGAATTCCAGAAAGAAAGAAGGGAAAACATGGAGGAATTCACTCCAGACCCAGTCCTGGGTGGATGGAGAGAGACCCACACTGAGGACCAGGACCCTAAACCCTCAGAAAGAGCAGGAGTCAGACCGGTTCCAGGAGCAGTGCCGGCGCAGGCTTCAGCCCAGCCAGACGCAGTCCAGTGTGAGGCCTAGGGCACCGTCTCCAGGTCCACGCCTCGCCCCTGGGAGGCGCCTGCAGAGCCACTTTGCCCTGGCCTAGGGACAGGAGAGGTGCAGGGCCACCAGGACAGTGATGGACAGGGGTCTGGGAGCAGCCAGTGGCGGGGAGAGGGGCGCAGGGTGATGTGGGCTCTGTCCACAGGACAGGAGGCTAAGGAAGCAATCAGACCAGCAAGGATTAACCCGCAGAGAAGAGGAGGCTGTGGCTTAGCCGCCAGTCATATTTGCACCATCGTGATATTGTAGAAGCTGCTTGTGCCCAATTAACTGGAACCGTGGGTGCTGTTGTTTGGGGAGAGGAGCCTTCTGTGGTGAGACATCGTACAAAACACCTAAAACTGAATCATCGAGAGGCCACAATACAAAGTGGTTCTTGGAAACATGGGGCAAACGTAGACCACCTCAAAATTGTCGTGCGGGTGACTGGCGGCAGGAGGGGCGTACTGACGTGCTGCCTTTCTCTGAGCCTTGTAAGAAGACTTGGCTTTTGAACTGTGCACGTGTATGACATTGATGAAAGGTAAAATCTTGAGATGCGTTAATCGAGAGAAAGCGTTGCTGGGCATGAGCCGTGTCTCTCTCCTGCAGAAGGTACCCGCAGACGACCTTGAGGCTGGAGAGGCTGAGCCCCAGAGCGCTGGGTCGGCAGGTCCTGCGGCTGCTGGAGCAGCATGGCCTGGACCCTGGTGAGTGGGGCCCCCACGCCCTGCGCTGGGGCAGGTGCCAGGCTGGTGCCGCCGGGGGTTCAGGCGGACCAGGGTCTACCGACCCCCAGCTCCCTTCCCGTCTCCTCCCTGCTTCCCCTCAGCACCTGCCCACCTGGGGTGCCCCTGGGAGTCTGGGCCCCGTGGGTGAGGACCACCGAGGCTGCGCCTACACCGTGCTCCCTGCCCCCTCCCCCTTGGTGATCACGGGCACCCTCTCAGAGGAGCAGTCTTACTGACAGTGTTTTATAGCTTCACTGTATGAGATTGTGGAAATTCTTCTCACTTCCTGGCCCGTGAGAGTGTTGATCAGGAACGGATGTGGAATTCTATCAAATACTCTTTTTGCACCTGTTGGGCGGATGCTATGCTTTTCCCCCTTTGGTCTGTCTGTGGGGTGGATTAGGTTGATTGACTATATAACGTTAAATGAATCTTGGATCCCTGCCATGGGCCCGTCTCTGCCGGGTTGTGTTGCCACTTACGTAGACTGCTAGGTCTCGTTTGCCAACTGAAGCTGGATTCAGACTTCGCCTTCCTGAAATGTCTGTTTCTGGCTTTGTGTACGAGGTTAAGCTGGCCTCTGAACACGCAGTGGATGACGGCCTGTCCTTTCTTTTCACTGAGGGTGTTTGTCTAAGATTGGAATTCTTTCTTCCTGAGAAGTTGAGGGGAAATGGCCTGTGAACCTGGATTGCTTTTCACTGTGGAAACATGACTATTGATTTGTCAGCTGTGGGGGGTTTTTTCAGGGAGTTTGTCTGTTTCACTTACGGTTCCAAAGGTCCTGTCATAAGGTATTCCTAAGACTCCTTCTTTTTTATGGCTGAGTAATGTTCCATTTTATATTTACACCTCAGCTTCTTTGTCCACTCATCTGTCGATGACACTCAGGTTGTTTCCATGTCCGGGCTGTTGTGGATAATGCTGCAGTGAATGTAGGGGTGCAGGTATCTCTTTGAGAGAGTGATTTCATAGACTCTGAATACCTACACAGAAGTGGAATTGCTGGATTGTATGGTAGTTCCATTTTTAATTTTTTGAGGAACCTCTACAGTGTTTTCCAGAGTGGCTGCAATGATTTACGTTCCCACCAGCAATGTCCTAAGGTTCCCTTTTCTCCACATCCTCGCCAGCATTTGTTATTTGTTGGTTTTTGGATGACGGCCATTCTGACAGGTGTGAGGTGATGTCTCATTGTGGTTTTGATTTGCATTTCCCTGATTAGTGATGTTGAGCATCTTTTCATGTGCCTGTTGGCCATCTGTGTGTCTTCTTTGGGAAGACATCTCTTCAGTTCCCCTGCCTATTATTAGTATTATTATTTTTTTGTGGTACGCAGGCCTCTTACTGTTGTGGCCTCTCCCGTTGCGGAGCACAGGCTCAGCGGCCATGGCTCACGGGCCCAGCCGCTCCGTGGCATGTGGGATCCTCCCAGACCGTGGCACGAACCCGTGTCCCCTGCATCGGCAGGCGGACTCTCAACCACTGCACCACCAGGGAAGCCCTCCCCTGCCTACTTTTTAATTCAGATTATTTGGGGGTTTTTGCTACTAAGTTTTATGAGTTCTTTATATATTTTGGATATTAACCCCTTATCTGTACGTGGTTTGGAAACATTTTCTCCCACTCCGAAGGTTGCCCTTTCATTTTGTTGATCGTTCCCTTGCTGTGCAGGTTTTGTTTGATGTCGCACATATGTTGATTTTTGCTTTCATTGCCCTGCTTTTGGTTTTTTGATCCTGTCTGTTGTATGCCCTGCTCATCCCACTAAACTGAATCTTTCCCTTCTTTCTTCCTGAATATATTCCCCAAGTTTCAATATGTATTATTTTTATTTTTGTCCAGCTCAAGACACTTTAAATTCCTATTATAATTTTTTTTTTTTACCCATGAACTAACTAGAAGTATGTTTCATTTCTTTTTTTGTTTGTTTTCTTGGTTGTGCTGGCTCCTTAGTTGCTGCATATGGGCTCCTTAGTTGAGGCTCGAGAGCTCCTTAGTTGCGGCATGGCAGACTCCTTAGTTGTGGCATGCAAACTCTTAGTTGTGGCGTGCATGTGGGATCTAGTTCCCTGACCAGAGATCGAACCCAGGCCCCCTGCATTGGGGGTGAGGAGTCTTAACCACTGCACCACCAGGGAAGTCCCTAGAAGTGTGTTTTTAATTTCCAAGCTATGACATTTTTGGTTATCTTTCTGGTATGGTCTGTTAATCTCATTGTGATCAGGGACCATGGTTGGTATGATGTCAGTCCTTTGACTGGGTTGAAATGTGTTGTTGGGAAGAGATCTAACTTCTCCCCTCTGAAAGTAATCTCTCTTTTTCTCTGGATACCTTTAGACTCTTCTCTTTGTCTTTGGTGTTCTGCAGTTTCACTGTGAGGAGCCTAGTTATAGATTTCTTTTTATTTGTCTTGCTTGGGATTTATTGGGCTTTTGAATCTGTGGATCTGTGTCTTCAACCTGCTCTGGAATTTTTTCGGTCATTACCTCTTTCGGATATTGTCTCCTTCCCCTGTCTTCCCTCTGTTCTCTTCCTGGGACTCTGAATGAGTCCCCGTATCTTCCATGTATTTTACCTTTCTTACATACTTTTCATCCATTTTCTTCCGGATATTGTCTCCTTCCCCTGTCTTCCCTCTGTTCTCTTCCTGGGACTCTGAATGAGTCCCCGTATCTTCCATGTATTTTACCTTTCTTACATACTTTTCATCCCTTTTCTTCCGTGTTGTCTAATCCTGGTAACTGCTTCTGCTGTCTTTTTCACTTTACTAGTTCTCTCTTCATCTGTATCCAACGTACTATGAAATCCATCCACTATTTCTATTTCGATTGTTATGTTTTCAGCCCTAGAATTTATAGTTTGGTTCTTTTTCAGATCTGCTGTTTCCCTTTGTATGCCTTCCCGTTGCCTGAAGACATTTCTGATTTTGTTTTTTCTGTCTCTGAGTACCGTGCTCCTGGCTGTGTTATGGTCTGTATCTAAACTTCAGCACTGTCTCTGGTCCTCGTCTGGTTTGTCTGCCTTGCTTACTTGCAGGCTAACTTTGCACCTGCCAACCTTGAGAAATCATCTGATGTAGCTGCCTGCCTCCAGAAAGGAATTTATATATTTATTTATTTTTGGCTGCGTTGGGTCATCGTTGTTGCGCACAGACTTTCTCTAGTTGCAGCAAGCCAGGGCTACTCTTCATTGCAGTGTGTGGTCTTCTTGTGGTAGCTTCTCTTGTTGCGGAGCACGGGGCTCTAGGTGCACAGGCTTCAGTAGTTGTGGTGCGCGGGCTGCAGTAGTTGTGGCACACAGGCTCTAGAGCGCAGGCTGAGTAGTTGTGGCACATGGGCTCAGTAGTTGTGGCGTGCAGACTCAGTAGTTGTGGCACACGGGCTTAGTTGCTCTGCGGCATGTGGGATCTTCCTGGATCAGGGCATAAACCCGTGTCCCCTGCATTGGCAGGCGGATTCTTAACCACTGCGCCACCAGGGAAGTCCCCACTGACAGGTTTTGATTCAGCCTCTCTGGAGGCACCACGTGCGCAGAAGGGAGAAGCAGGAGGGGTGGGACCACCCAGGCCAGCGGCGCAGGTGCATCAGGGCCCTGGGAGCCAGGGCCACGGGCTGCACTGGCGGTGGGGGTGGGGGGTTGGCACTCCACCTGAGACATAGCAGCCCACCTCAGAGGCCTGGCTGGGCAGGAAGGAGCCAGCACCCCTCAGGCTGCTGATTAAAACCCAGAGGGTGAGTTCTAGACTCAGGAGCTCTGAGGAAGGTCCCAGCGACACAGACCGCTGGGGGGTGCTGGGCTCTGAGGGGCCTGGAAGACTGGACTGCAGTGCCACCACCCTGCAGTTGGGGACCTGGCCCTGAGCTGAAGCCAAGCGAGTGGGCTGGAGGGACCCCTGACCCAGGCACAGGGGCCTCCAGGCTCACCTGCACACCTGCCCTGGGCACCAGTCAGGGAGCTCTGGGAGCGTTGCCCCATGGGAACATGAGGTGGGGACATCCAGGCCCCGGCTGCCAGGGCCTCCCGCAAGGCTGGTGGTGGTTGGTTGAGGCAGGGCCCCGCCCACCCAGGACCAGGACCAGAGCCTCGAGGGCCGGGGAGGGAGGTGGGCAGGAGGCCCACAGAGCCAGGCATGATGGGAGGGCTGTCGGGGGGGCAGCTCACCATCCAGCAGCCCTGTCACACCTTTCTTTGACTTCAGGGGCCACGTCATGGCCATGGTGGGCCAGGCCTGGCGCCAGAGCAGCCTTTGGCGGCCTCAGGCTGGCCTTAGCTGCGTGCTTCCCAGGACAGGGCGTGCCCGCCTGGGGAGGGTCCATCCCACCCAACAGGTCTCGGCTGGCCCGAGGCTGGAGCAGTTGAGTGCCCGGAGCCCGCGGGACAGGTGGGGCCTTCCCTGCTGATCGTGCGGAGGGCCAGGAGTGCGGACAGGAGGGCAGCGGCAGGTTCTTCCCGTGGGGCCTCGGCCGGCAGCCCTGCCGGGGAGATAGGTTCCACCAGGCCCCCTCCCGGGTATATGCGCTGCAAGGCCCCTTCTGTAGCCCCCCAGCTGGCTCCGGGGGCCTGTCCCAGCCAGGAGGCCTCACGGTGGCAGGGCTGCCTCTTCTCAGTAGACCTGGCAGTTCCTAATTTCAGACAACACAGGCCAGCGTTTCCAACGTCCTAAAAACTGCCCCCCCAGAGGGAGGGGCACCAACGCCCCCCATGGTCCTCGCTGGGCATCCGCCATTGCAGCGTGGGCCTCCACGTGGACTGACCCCATGCCCTTCTTGGGAGGACAGAGTCAGACACGATGCAGGGTAGGGCCCGCTCACCCCTCAGCCCTGAGCTCCCCCAGCCCGCCCTCCCCGGGCCTGGGTCCCGGTGGAGGCCCCAGTGTCTGGGCAGAGTCAGCAGGGCACGTTTGGGTTGCGTTTCCAGTTGGCAGCGTCTGGCAGGTGGCTGGGCCTGACCCACCTGCACCTTTTCCTTTATGTTTGGGTTTGGATGAACCATCAGTGCAGACTGCGGCCTGAGTGCCTTCTGTCGATGCGATACTGTACCCATAGGATTTTGACAAAGTATCTCATTGGCAAAATGATGCATAGCATTGTAGAAACGTCAGGAAAGCTGGTGTCTGTCTGTCTCCATCCGAGTGAGACTTGCTTCTGCAGCAGGTTTGACACCTTTGTCTCTGTCCTGAGTGTCGCCTCCTGCCCTGAGTAACTTGTTCATCCGTCCCTCCCTCCCTGCTGCAGTCTCGTCCAGGCTCCCGAGCGGCCTGTGGGGCACGTCCGTGGATCTGGAGCCCTCTCATCTTGCGTCCCTGCCTCGGCAGGAAGCGGGAGGGAAGGCTGAGGGGCAGCTGGCAGGACCCGGCCTCTGGGCAGCCCTGACCTCTGTGTGCTCGGACAGCGTCCTTGTAGCCAGGGTGCTCCCTGTGCTGGCTGTGCGGTCCTGGCTGGGGCGGCCGCACCACTCGAGAGCATGGGGTCCTGGCCAGGGTCCGGGGAAGGCCGGGCCCCCACTGGGAGGTGCAGGTGGGCAGGCTCTGTGGTCAGTATCCCCCCCGGACCACCAGGCTGCAAGGACAGCTGGCCCCAGGAGGGAGGAACAGCAGCGGGTGGGTGGACAGCGGGTGGTGGACAGAGGGTGCGTGGACAGCGGGTGAGTGGACAGTGGATGGTGGACAGCGGGTGGTGGACAGAGAGTGCGTGGACAGCGGGTGGGTGGACAGCGGGTGCCCTTCCCAGGCCCCCCTGGGCTCTGAACAGAATATGAAGGTGAGGCCAACAGGTGAGCATAGTTTGTGAACACATGAGCAAGACCACCCCTTCCTCGAGAAACTCACGTTCTGGGGGGGCCAGGAAGCAAAGGCACCAGCTGCCTGGAGACAAGACAGGAAGACCCTGAGAGGTGGGCGTCCAGGAGACCCAAAGGGAGGATGGGCCCGGCAGGTGTGGGCGGAGGGCGCATGGAGGGCTCTGGGGTGCTGCATGGGGGCGGGGCACCCTCCTTCAGGGCTGGGAGGGCCGCTCTGATGCAGGTGGAATGGAGGCTGTCCGTGGGGCGGGGGGGGGGGGGGGGGGGAGGGGGGGGGGGGAAGACAGGCAGAGCCACACAAGCCCCGACCCCTGCCCCATCCCGTACTCACTCCATCCCAGCCCTGCCCAGAGCCCACCCTCTCTTTCAGACCTGTGTCCCAACGTCGTTAACCAGCAGCGCCTGGCCGCCCTGCGGTATCTGTGCTACAAGCGGCTGGTAGAGGTGTGTGGACTGGGGCCCGGGGTGGAGAGGGGCTCCAAGCGAGGCCCGCTGCTGTGCTCCTGGGGCTGCCGCTAGAAAGGCTTGCGCTGGTGTCCACTTTTGCAGAGAAGCGTATCTCGGGAGAGCTGGGCCGAGCATGTGCAGGTGAGTTCAGAGGGTCCCAGTGTGCAAGGCCCCCCCCCTCCCCACCGTGGGGCAGGGTCAGAGCGGCCGGGGGTCCAGGATCCTCCTTCACCACTTGTGAACAGAGCTCTCAGGCGCTGGATGAGGAGAGGTTCACCAAGAGGAAATTCTAGACCATCCTCAGGCGCTCTGCTTGCCACGGCTCTGGGCCCCGAGGCCTGGTGAGCCTGAAGACCCCGAGAAAGAGACAGGTGCCCCTTGGGGTGATGTGGGGACACGGAGGGCCAGACTGCGACCCCATGAGGATAGTGGCGTGGACAGTGTCGTCCTGCAGCCTCTGTCCTCAGGCCAGAGCTGGAGTGGGGGTCATCGCAGGTATAGAGCTATCCCCAGCCCCAGGTGAATTGGCCTGGGAGAAGGGTGGGCTCTTGGGGGTCCCGGGTGCCGTGTGCATAGGAGCTCTGCAGTGGTCAGTGGAATGGAGGGGGGGGGGTCCCCTCCCTCCTGAGCGCACATGCAGGGCCTGGTGCCTGCGCGGCATCCAGTGGAGGGCAGTGCCGAGCCGCCCCCGGAGTGACCGGGCAGGGGTGGTGAGTCACCGGAGAGGAACGCGGACCCCCAGGCAAGGCCCGGAAGGCCGGTCCCTCCTGGGTGCCAAGGCCGAGCCGTCCGGAAGGGCAGCGGACATCCTGAAGAATGTGAGGGGCTTCCACGTATTGTCCACGTGGGAACCCGCGGCCTGCGGGAAACGGACGGCCTGAGGCTGCTGGGGACAGAGCCGTGTGGGGAGGTGGCCCCGCCTGCCGGCCAGCAGGAGCTCCTCAGGAGGGTGGGGCCCACAGCGACCTGTGACCTCGCAGACACGGACACCCCACCCCCGTCGGGACCCCTGTGGGCCACGTGGGCCTCTTGCGCCCACACCGGGCCTTGCCTCCCTGAGGGCACAGTGGGTGCAGGGGTGTTCCGTGGCCTCACCCTCCCCGGCACCGTGGCCGCCCAGGGGCAGGGGTGAGGAGGTGCAGAGGGGAGATGCTGGTGGTGAGGGCCGGGGCAGACCGTGCTCAGGGAGGCGGTGCGGGTCCCAGGCCCGGGAGCAGGCCATTGAGCAGAGCCGCGGTGTTGGGCGGGAGCTCGTGCGTGCGGAGAAAGGCTGAGGCGGAGTGGGTAGCAGGATGGGCCGTGGGCTCAGGATGGCGACCCTTCACTCTGACACGTCCAGGCCCCTCAGCACCTTGGTTCAAGCCAGCTCGGTCACCATGGAGCCTCAGTCATAGGAACTGCTGGTCTTCAGAGGACAGCCACCTGCTTATGAAGGGCTCAGGGCGGGTCTGGGGGGGGGGGCTCAGGACGAGGTCTGAGTCGGGGTCAGGGCCGGGTCCGAGGGGTGGAGAGATCAGGGCTGGGTCTGGCGGGGGGGGGGGGCGGTGTCCGAGGCGGGGAGGCAAGGCCAGTCTGAGGGGCAGATCTGGGTCTGGGGGCTGCCTGGATGGGCCCGAGCCCTTGGGGCAGACCAGGCGAGCAGCCCATACCCCGTCCCCAGGGCCTGGCCGGGCAGGACCAGTGGCTACAGGAGCAGCTGCTGCAGCTGCTGGCATCTCACGACGACGCGGCCCTGGTCGCCCAGTGTGCCCTGGACCTCCTGCTGCCCGAGGAGCGACTCCCGGCCTCGGTGGCCGCAGAGCTCCGCCAACTCAGGATTCAGGAGAGGTGAGCGTCCCCAGGCTCAGAGGCCCACAAGGAGGACGCCCTTGGGCCCCCGCCCTCGAAAGTGGCCATAAGTCATACGTGCTGGTGGCTTGGGAATTAGAAGCGCGGGAGAGCCGAGCAGGGGCGCAGGCAGAATGCAGACACACAGCAGGAGGCAGGCGGGTCAGCCCCTTGGGTGCTAGCGAGACCCCATGGCCAGATCCCTCAGCCGGCCAGATACTCCCAGGGGCCTGAGGACCCGGCCGCCTGCAGTCTGCGAGGGCAGAGGCGTGGGGAGCAGACTGCGTAGACCCCGGCCCACGCACGGGCCCTGAGCACTCCCCTGCCCCAGGGTCCAGGCCGGGCTGTGCTGTGGGGTGCCCTGGTGGGGATGGTGCTGCAGCTCTGCTCCTCCCCAGGACAGCTGAGGCCCCTCTGGAGGACGGGAAGGACGATTACTACCAGCTGCCCATCCCCAGGGAGCACCTCCACTTCCTGGCCTCGTGGGAGGACCTGGCCAGGCACCAGGAGGAGCTCCTGCAGGTGGGTGCCTGACTCCCGCAGGCAGCCGGCTTCGGGGGCTGCTCACCAAGGCCTCCTGGGGCTCTGTCCACACCGGGCACTCTGGCTTAAGGACTCCGGGCCTGAGTCCTGAGCATCGGTGTGGCGCTTGACTCCTTGTGTGGGCACTCGCAGGGCCGGTCCAGCTCTCCCCACAGAGGCCGCCTCCCCTGGACATCAGCCCTCAGGCGGCCAGGCAGGTTGGCGTGTCCTCCTCCCGGTCTTTGGCTGTGCCGTTCACGCCAGCCCCTCTGTCTGCAGCCCGGCCAGGTGGTCGGCATGGACCTGGAGTGGAGGCCCTCGTTCGGAGCCGGGGGCCGGCCCCGGGCGTCGCTCATGCAGGTGGCCGTGGAGGGCCGCGTGTTCCTGCTGGACCTGCCCCGGCTCTCAAGTCCAGCAGGAGGGCAGGCGCCCCAGGCCTTCTTCCGGCTGGTGTCCCGGCTGCTCACGGACCCCTCCATCACCAAGCTGGGTGAGCGCAGCCCCCGGCCCCGCGCCACAGCCCTGCCTGCCCAGGGGAGGGTGTCAGGGTGAGGCCAGGGCCCCTTCCTTGGGTGCCCATCACAGCGACGGCCCCCACCCACAGGTTATGGGTTGGCGGGGGACCTGCGGAGCTTGGGTGCCTCCTGCCCGGCCCTGGCCCAGGCCGAGAAGCAGCTGCGGGGCAGCGTGGACCTGCTGCAGGTGCACAGGCAGGTCAGCGCTGGGGGGATGCTGGGGGTGGGGGGCTCCCTGCTGTGCTCAGCCGCCTGCACAGCGATACCGGGGCAGGGGTCTCACCTCAGGCTGGTGGGGTGTCTGTGGGCCGGGACTTGGCCTCGGCCTCTCTATGCCTTCTGGGCTGGCCCCGGCCCTGCTCCCTGGCCACAGGTCACCAGGGACCCGGGGCACAGGGTCCCCCAGGGAGGCCGTGTCACCACACGTCCCCACGCTTCCCCAGAACCAGCCCGGCTCTGCCTACCACCCCCCACCCCAGGAGCTCTCAGCACACACCCTTGGGGCTGAAGGCGTTGGCCCGAGCTGACCAGTGGGCGGGTAACCACAGCCCCGAGACCTTGACACAGCCTGCCTTGGCCGCTAGCGCTCTCCTCCTGCGGCCCTGTCCGCCATGGAGGACACAGGGCCTGCCCCAGGGCTCCTCGTGGGGCAGCCAAGGCACGTGCGGTGGCCGTCCTCCCTCTGGGGCGGGCCCCTCACCCCCAAGGGGTGCTGTCTTACAGATGCGGGCAGCAGACAGGCCAGCCCCAGGTGTGGATGGGGCCGCAGGGCCACGGGGCCTCAGCCTCCTGGTGCAGCAGGTGCTGGGCAAGCCCCTGGACAAGATGCAGCAGCTTTCCAACTGGGACCGGCGGCCGCTGTGTGAGGGGCAGCTGGTCTACGCAGGTGGGCGCCCCCCGCACCCCTGCCCCGCACCCCCGATTGTCCCCACGCTGGAGGCTGAGGCTGACCTTGCCTGTCCCAGCCGCTGATGCCTACTGCCTGCTGGAGGTGTACTGGGCTCTGTGCAGAGAGCCTGCGCGCTTCCACCTGTCGGGGGACCTGGCCAGGAGCCTGAGGCTGGGACGCGGTGAGAGAGCGGGGCCTGGGGAGCTGCCGCCCCTTCAGAAGGCCTTGACCTCGCCCCAGCAGGTAGGCGAAGCCCTCCAGGGCTCCTTTATCACAATTCCTACGGGGAGATCCCTGTCCTTAGAACTGGGACCTTACAGGGTTGGAGACCGGTGTGGGTGTGGGGTGTCGGGGAGAGCCGTCCAGAGGGCTTGTGTCCCGCACGCTGGACCCTCTGCCGGGAAGGAAGGAGAGCAGAGCCGCGGGTTAGCTTCCTAAAGGAGGAGGGGTCTCAACGGTCTCCTGACACCAGGTCTGGCGTGCCCCCTGCCAAGGTCTAGGGCAGCCTCTGGCCGTGTCCCCGTGTGCCCCAGGGACCCAGGCCCTGCTCCAGCGTGCACACGACCACCCCCCCAGGAGAGGTGTGCCGGCTCCCCTTGGGGCCCAGCTTTTCTGCTGTTTTCTGCACTGAGTACATGTTGCTCAGGACGAGCTGCCCTCACGGCCCTTGGGACCCTCGCTCCCCACCGGGTCCAGGGTGGGCCAGACGGGCCACGGCTGCTGAGCGGGGCTGTGTTGCAGGTGCCCGCGGGTGAGGACGCGGCCCCTGAGGTCCCGGCCAGGGCCTTCCGCGTGGTGTGTGACAGCATGCTGCAGGGGCTGGCGCGGAGACTCCGCTGTCTGGGCATCGATGTGCTGGTGCTGGCCACGGGCGAGGACCACCGCAGGGCCGCCGAGGTGAGCAGGCCTCCCGCGTCCGCTGGCAGAGGGGGCAGTGTCTGGGGTGGCCGCAGGGCCCCAGCTGCATGGACCCCCACGCCACTGGGGCAGAGGGCGGGGCCCCCCTGGATGCCGGGGTGGAGACATTTATGACTCCAGCACCTGTGGTCTGCAGGCCTGGAGCCCTTGAGGATCCTTTGGGGGGTGGCCTGACACAGGCAGACTCAGGGTAGTCCTGGCCCCCTCACTGTCTTTTGGCCCCTGCAAATGCTGTGTGCCCGTGAGGCCCTCCCCTCCTCCGAGAAGCAGGTGCTCACAACACCGCTGGAGGCACAAACCCCCCAGGGCCCTGCAGAAACCCCAGCAGGGCTCTCAGAATCCAGGGGTTAGAACATGGCTGGTAAGCGTTTTCTACCAGGTTTCCTGAGATGTGATTTACGCACCACACGATTTACAGTGTACAATTGTACATTCCCAGAGCTGTGCAGCCATCACCACAGTCAATCTTAAACCACTTTCTTCACCCGTGAAGTTGTCCCCCGCGCCCCCTCCCCAGCGCCTGGCGGCCTGGCTTCGGTCTCCGGGGAGCCGCCTGCTGCGGACACTGCATGTCAATGGACTCGTGCACGTGGCCTTTCGGGCCTGGCTTCTTTCACAAGCGTGATGTTTTCCGGGCTCAGCTATGTTGTAGCATCTGTCAGCGCTTCACTCCTTTTTACTACCAAATAACGTTCCATCGGATGGACCGCAGTGGATCCATCCACCCGGCCGCTGATAGACGCTCGGGCTGTTTCCACCCTCGTCTGCTGTGACTCGTGCAGCTGTGAAAGAGCAGAGGAGGCCGGGCCACAACTTGGACTTTTAATATGTGGTTTCTTTTATGAATTTGAACACATTCTTCTGGAAGGGGTCCCCAGGCTCACCAGGTGGGTGGCCGGAGCACAGAGCTGGCCAGGGGCCCTGCGACTGCAGAGCTGTGGCACGTCGCCAGCAGTGGCCCTTCCCTCCACACTCCACACTGCCAGCCGGGTCCTCCCAGCAGCCCCCACCCCCAGTAATGAGGAAGCTGGGGCCAGAAGAGCAGAGGGGATCTGCCCGGGGCTGCAGGGGGAAGCCGGGAGCCTCCCGTGCTGGCCCCACGTCTGTGCGAGGATGTCCACTCTCCCCAGCCCTGGCCCCTCACAGCCGTCTCTTCCAGTCACCTGGTCCTGGTGCCCAGGGGAGGAGGATGTGGTCGTGCCTAGGGTGGCTCTGGACGCCGTCCCTGTCGGAAACCCCTCTGTCCCCAACCAGGGTTGTTTCTAGCTTATGGGGGCAAGACGAGGACAGCCAGCCTGGCATCTCGAGGACCGCAGACCAGGCGTCAGTGGTCACGGGACCCAGGGAGGAGGGGCCTTCCCAACTGGCCCCGAGAGTACCCCGGTCTCCAGCAGACGGAAGGCAGGGTTTGGCCCCTAGTCTGCACCTGCACTCCCACGTTACCCTCTGAAGTTTTACATGATGCGGCCCAAGGGAGTTGCAGGTGTGATTTACTTGTCAGCTGACCTCAAAGGGGCCGCCCCGGAGGGAGGACCTTGGATTATATGGGTGGAGCTAGCGTCATCGCGTGAGCCCTTGACGGCAGAAACGGAAGGCAATTCAGACTAAAGCACAGGAAGGCTGCGGCGTGGGCCTCAGGGCGAGGAGGCGGACCTCCATCCAGCAGCCCCCGGACTGGATCCTGCGGCACCGAAGGAGCCTGGAAGTGGGTTCGTCACCAGAGCCGGGCCGCCGGGACCGGAGCACCGGGGGTCCTGTGCGTGAGCCCCTGGGGCCCGCCCGCTCCCACCCCACAGAGCTGAGTGTGAGTTCATGCTCAAGTGGCTGTGGCCACGTTAGAAAATCAGTATATCTGGGAGCCAGGGGTGCAGCGCTGCTGCGATGATGCCTCAGACGCGGGAGATGGAGCAGCCGGAGAGGCTGGGGAAGTGCTGGGGTCGCGACGGCCCAGACGGAGCAGAGTGGGCAGCCGAGCAGGGGGTGGACTGGAGCTAGGGGTTCAGACCTCCAGCCATCGCAGATGTTCAGAACATCGCAGCCCGTGAGGCCATGGGCCCAGGGCCCTCCCAAGGGGTGTGAGAGGGGGACCGAGGTGCTTATTCCTGGGGTTGGAGCTGCAGCTCGAGCCCCTGCGTTACAGACGGACTTTACCCACGTCTCCCGTGAGGCTTTTAACTTGTCCCCTCAGCCTTGTGGTCGGAGGTCCCAGGGCCTCGTCCTCAGTGCCCACCCTGCGGGGGTGGGACGGTTTACTGCCACCCGCGAGTGGTGCTCGGGGCAGCATTCTGGGCCAGGGGCGACTGCGCACTTCTCACACCTGTGATGGTCTTGGGTGCGGCTGGAGCCCTGAGGGCATCTTCCGGGTAGGACGTCTCTAGCCGTGGGAGCTGCTGTGTCCCTTTGGCCGTTTACATTTTTTCTTCCGTGGATCTTTCCCAATCACGCGTTTCCCCGTCCAGACCCCCCGAGTGGATGAACTGGCTGTTCGGTATAGAAGGGCTACACTGTGGGTTTTGACTCCTATGATGAGCGCTGTTAACACTCAAACATTTTTTAAAGAAAGGCAGCGCTGCTGGTGAGGGAAGGGAGGAGGGTCCTGCCACGCGGGGCAGAGGCCCGGCGCTATGTCCACGCTTGCGGGCAGTAGACCTTTCAAGGATGAGCCGGGGCGCCAGCCAAGCCGCACTGAGGTGCACCCTGGGCCTCCTGCTGCTTGGGCTCAAGTGTGAGAGGACGGAGTCCGCTGAGCGAAGAGCCGTCGGCAAAGAGGAGCTGGGGCGTGATGTCTGGGGAGGTTCTCAGCCCGTCTGGATGGAGGAAGATGCCAGCGTTCAGTGGTGGCTTCCCCGGGCGTGGCCTGAGCAGAAGCTGGGGGGCACATGGCCAGGCCGGGCAGCCACCCTGGCAGGAGCCAGACTGGGGGAGCAAGTGCACGCACGGACAGTGGCGCAGAGTCTGCCCCAACGGAGCCCCCGCCGCCGCCTTCGTCCTCGGCTGGCTCCTTGCAGTAGGTCTCTGTGTGCCTCCAGGCGGTCCTGCTGCTCTGGGGACCCCGACGGATACAGACGTGGGGAGAGAAGTGCGTCCAGAAGAGTCTCCAGGAAGTGATTTCTGAGCAGTTCTGGGGTCTCTGGGACTGATCTGCTAATCCGGTAGACTTAGGGCACTGAGGACCGGCCTGCAGGGGTAAAGAGGCCACTGGTGGGCCATGCTGTGATGTGGCCAAGCTCCTTGGAACATGGCTGGGGTTCCCCGTGGAGGCCCTACAGAAGGAGAGCCCAAGGGGCTGGCCAGTGGCCGGGAGGGCCCAGGAGGAAGCCCCTCAGTCCTGGGGCCGCGGTGCTGAGGCAGCTCAGAACCACACCCGGGGCTCCATCCCGTGAGCCGCTGGATGACAACACACAGGTTACACTCGCGGTCGCTGCTTCACCGTCCATTTTGCCAGTCTCGTCGGCAGGAAGTCGCATCTCGCTGCACTTTCGCTCGCCCTCCTCCGAATATCAGTGAAGCTGAGCATCCTTCCACACGCTCGTTCGCTGCTTGTGCCCCTGTCCTGTGAGGTGCCCCGGTCAGAAAGTAGCAGGCCTGACCCTGGGCTGGGAAGGCCCGCTGGCACAGATGGTCCGGCCGGTAAACAGCTGATGGAAAACTTGCCCCGAATGGTGGGAGGGGCTCATTGTGCCCCAGCTGTCCAGACAGTGTGGTCTGCCTAGACGCCTGCTTCCCTTCCAGGTTGCAGAGGGTGCCTGGGTGACTGAACCGCAGCGCACACCATGGGTGCTGAGTCACTAATGCATCTGCCCGGTGACGCGTGTTGCGGTGGCCGGCGCAGGGGGGACTCAGCACAGGCCGACTCCACCAGGCAGGCTCCGGGGCTTGAGTGGTTTCCTCTGTGCTTTGCCCAGGTGCTTTCCGTAAGCTGGTTCTGCTTTCTGTCCTTCCCTGATGGTGTGCTGAGTCCTTCCAGCGAATCCCCGGACCTGTGGATGGTGTGGGGACCCTGCTGCCGCTCCGTCCTCCTCCCTCTGGCCTCAGTTCATCTTGGCATCTGCAGGGGGAGCCCCACCTCGCTCTCCCTCCGCCTCCACCTTCCCGTGGTGGTCTGGAAACAGCCCCTCCGTGGGCTTTGCTTGGATCTCGTTGACACTGTGAGCCAGGGTGGGGACAGTGACATGTCATCACGTCGAGTCCTCTGTGCGTGAGTGTTGGTCTCGCTCTTCTGCGAGGGTTCCACGCACGTTTTGTAAGCTCTCCACGAAGCCCTGCCACGTCTGTGAGGTTTCACCCCAGGAACCTTCTGCTTTGTTGCCACGACGCGCAGTGCTGCTTGCTTTTCTGCGGATACACAGAACTGCAGTGGACCTTTAGTTCTTAGTTGGCTGAGCGTTGATCCTACATCTGGAAACCTTGCAAAAGTCTCCTAAATTCTACTGAATTGACTCAGTTCTTGGGGTTCTCTTTGTGGACATATCTTCTGCAAACAGGTTGGTTTCATTCCTTCCTCTCCAGTCTGTGTGGGTCTCTTTCTTTCCCTTATCCTGTCCCAGTGGTCGAGGCCTCCAAGGTGCAGTTGACTAGGTGGTGACCGTGGCCGTCTGTCTCAGTTCTGACTTGACAGGGAATGTTCCTCCGTGAACCACGGTGGTTGCCAGGCCCCCACACCAGGCTGGGGAGGCTCCCCGGGTGCCATATCCGCGGCACATTTCATCATGAAAGAAGCTGAATCCTACCTGATGCTTTCTCTGCAGCCATTGAGAGCATCCCTGTGACCTGTGCACGTGACGAACCTTTTCAGTCTGGACCCAGCCTAGCCAGCATGTCACGCTGCTGGGTCTGCCTCCAGGACCGTGTCTGACACAGAACTTCTCTTCCTCACCATCTTCTCTTCCACCTCATAAACAAGCTGGGAGTTTTTCCTCCTCTCTGCTTTCTGCTGCTTTGAGTAACATGTAGATTATCCTCTCAAACATTGGCCAACTTCCTGCAAGGCCTCCTCAGCCTGGTGTTTCAGGGGGGAGGCGTTTCCAGGAGTCTCTGATTCTTTCTTATTTAATAATTTTAGGACTACTTAGTTGTCTGCATCTTCTTGAGTCACTTGGTAGTCCGTACCTCTTTCTGGATGTGCCCATTTCACAGAGTGTTTCACATACGTGGTGGTGTCCGGCTCCTCTGTGAAAGCTCCGTGGTACCTGCAGGTGGTCAGCTTCATTCTGATTGCTGCTCACTCGTGCTCCCCCTCTTTCCTGATCACACAGAGGTTTGTCAATTTACTAAGTCTTTTCAAATAACTAGTATTTGGCTTTGTTGATCCTTTCTATTTCATTCTTGTGTTTTTTGTCTCATTAATTTCTCTTCTTATCTTTACAGTTTCCTTCCTTTTGCTTGCTTGGGGTTATTTCCAAGCGGAGTGTTTAGCTCTTTAATTTTCAGCCTTTTAAATTTTATGATGTAAACATTCAAGGCAATAAATTTTTCTTGAAGTACGTTTTCGCTGCATTCCATCCGTTTTGATATGTAGTATTTTCATTACTTTTTAGTTCTAATAATTTTTGAGCGTCTGTTATAATTACTTATTTGACTTGAGTTCTTTGAAAGGCTGTTTTTCAGTTTCAGAAAGCTTGGGGTTTGGGAGCTTTTTAGTTATCTTTTAAAAATCAATTTCTAACCTATTTGAATTGTAGTCTGTATACTGCTGATTTAGATATCTGTGAAGACTTGCTTCGTAGTCAAGCAGACGATCCTTTTTATAAATGTTCCATGTGGACTTTAAAAGGCCACAGTCTCCTCCAGCCATGTTCATTTCCCTCTCTTGCTCTCACACGCTCAATAGGTCAAGCTTACTTAATGTTTGCTCAAGTCTTGTGTATCTTGTTTGGTTGTTTTTCTGCCTGCTTCTATCAAAGACCTCGACAGTGGGTTCACCAAGTTCTCCTTGTAGTCATGTCAGTATCTGCTTAATATGTTTTAAAGTTGTTATTAGGTGCACATGCATACAACTTTTAGAATTCTTATATCTTCCTGTTGAGTGAAATCTTTTACAATTATGAGGTGAACCTCTTTGGCTCTAGTACTGCTCTTTGCAGTAAAGTCTATTTGAACTAATATTAATACCATTTCTCCAGCATTCTTTGGTTAGTATTTGTATATCCTTTTCTCACCCTTTTGCTTTCAACCTTTCTTTGCTCTTATTAGGTGTATTACTGTACTTAAAAACTGCTTCTAGATGGATTTTTAAAAATCTAGTCTGACAGTCTTTGCTTTTCAACCAATTTAATCCAAACCAAGTTTAATCCATTTACATTTATTGTAATTACTGATATAATCTGTGTTTAGTTGTACTATATAACTTGTGCTTTCTATTTCTCCTACTTCTTCTGATCTTTTTTCCCTTTATTTCTTATATTTTTTGTCTTTTTCATCCTTGTTTCTATTTTTTTCCTCTATTAGTTTGAAAGTTATAAATTCTATTTCTGTTCTTTTAGTGATTGGCCTAGAAATTTTAACATTTATTTCTGAGTTGACAATGTCTAAAGTTAAAATTAATCCAGGGATTTTAGGTCAATTTAGCTTTCTTGCCTGCTTTCCATTTTACCTGCTATTATTTTCCAGTATTTTTAACACATTGTGGTTTTACTTAGTTCTAAAAATTAGACATCATTAAATCTGTTTTATGTATTCTGTCCCTTTTCGAGTTTATGATGTATGGACAGCCACATGCACTCCAAGAAAAAGCAGGCTCTTTTTCACTAAAAGAACTTCCTTTGCTATGACCTTTCATTGGGGCCATTTTTCCCTGAAAACTCTGTTTCCTCTCTCTTCTGAAAAAGAATGTTGCGGGGTTTATAGCTATAGCTTGACAGAACTCCGATAAGAGTCCACTGTCTCTTGCACCTGTCATTGCTGTTGGGACGTCTGCCTTCCGTTCTTGTCACTCCTGGTTTTACTCTCGACTGCCCTTTTGTTTGGGTCTTTCCTCATATTTACTTCAGTTGTGTGTGTTTGTTTTTAATTTTTTATTAATCACATAGATATATATTTGTTACCACTACGAAGTAACCACTTGCTTTTGCTTTTTTTTTAATTGTAAAATATACATAACATAAAATTGATCATTTTAACCATATTTAAGTGTACAATTCAGTGGCATTAAGTGCATTCACAATGTGTGCAACCATCACCACTGTCTATATCCAGAACTTTTTCATCATCTCAAACAAAAACTCTATATGCATTAAGCAATCATTCTCCTTTTCCCCCTCCCACAGCCCCTGGTAACTACTGTTTTACTTTCTGTCTCTATGAATTTGACTCCTCTAGGGACCTCATGTAAGTGGAATCACATAATGTTTGTCCTTTTGTGTCTGGCTTATTTCAGTGAGCATACTGTTCTCAAAGTCCATCCATGCTGTAGTACATGTCAGCATTTACTTCCTTTTTGAAGCTGAATAAATTCCATTGTACATTGGGTGTATGTATGTGTGCGCGTGTATTTGTTTTTGTCATCTGATGGTGGACACTTGGGTTGTTTCCACCTTTTTGGCTATTGTGAATAGTGCTACTACTATGTACCTTGAGGTACAAGCATCTGTTCAGGTTTCTGCTTTCAGTTCCTTTGGATCTATACCCAGAAGTGGAATTGCTGGATCATATGGTAATTCTGTGTTTAATTTTTTGAGAAACTGCAACACTGTTTCACACAGCAGCCATATCATTTTACATTCCCACCAGCATCTCATGAGAGCTCCCAATCACTGTACATCCTCATCAACACTTACTTTCCTTTATAAAAATAAAATAAAAGCGATCCTAATGGGTGTGAAGTGGTGTCTCCTTGTGGTTTGACTCGCGTTTCCCTGATGACATGATGTTGAGCATCTTTACATGTGCATATTGGCCATTTGTGTGTCTTTTGAGAAACGTCTTTTCAGGTCCCTTCCTTGCCCTTTTTTTTTTTTTGCGGTGTGCGGGCCTCTCACTGTTGTGGCCTCTTCCGCTGCAGAGCACAGGCTCCAGACGCGCAGGCTCAGCAGCCATGGCTCACGGGCCCAGCCGCTCCGCAGCATATGGGATCCTCCTGGACCGGGGCACGAACCCGCATCCCCTGCGTCGGCAGGCGGACTCTCTACCACTGCGCCACCAGGGAAGCCCACCCATCTGTTTTATGTTACAATTCACACACAGATATTTCAGAATAACAATGTTGATGTTATTATCACCAACAATAGTATTACTGCCAGGTATTTTTCATTTTGGGTCTGTAGCCCTAGAGATACATGGTCGATTCACTGTGGCTTCGTGTCATCTGGCATGTTTCTCTCTTTGTAGTTCACTTGTTTCATTTTTGGGTTTTTAGAGATTGCTTTTTAAATTTAATTTTGTTTGCAATTCTGTGAAGTGTCTGCACAATTCTGAGACCAAATCTATAACAGGAGGGTATGCCCGGCCTCAGGCTGTGGGAATCTGGTGGCCACTCAGGTGCCAGGCGGAGACAGCTCTGGGGCATGGGGGGGGGGGCTGGCGAAAGGGGGGCAAAAGAAGCCCCAGCCCCAGGAGCTGGCCTGACACCCTCACCTGCCAGTTTTTCCTCCCGCCCAGGTTGCCAGGCAGGAGGGGAGGGTCATCCTGACCTCAGGGCTGCCGTACCACAAGGTGAGGACCCCACAGATGACTCACATCTGAGCCTCGACTTCCTGAGCCGCCCACACCTCAGGGTCTGCTTGCCGTGGGGCCAGGGGGTGGGGGGGCTGAGTGGCACCACTGCCCCACCCTGGGCAGAGCGGAGGCTCTTGGCCTGGAGCTGGGAAGGCGGGGCCTGGGTGGGCTCTGGGTTCTGGCCCACCGCTCGACGGTTGCATGTGTCCACAGCTCCGGGCCCAGGTTGGGGCTGGGCGCTGCCTCTCGGTGGACTGCTCCCTCAAGGCCCGGCAGCAAGCCACGGCCGTGATCAGGCATTTCAACGTGCGTGTCACCCACTCGGACATCTTCAGCCGCTGCCAGGTGGGTGCTGCGTGCCCCTTGCTGGCCCTGGGCCAGTGTGGAAGCCCCAGGCTCTGACAGGTGAGGCCCGCGAGGCCCTGGCGGTGGCGGGATGGCCTTGGCGTTTCTGCTCATGTGAGCAGTGGCCACTGCCTGGTCTGTGCGTTTTCTCCTCTCCGCCACCCCCAGACGCCCATGCCCACGGCATGGGGGAGCTTGGCTGGGGGGGGGCGGTCACTGTCGTCTGTGGCTAAGAGGTGGCAGAGCGTCGGGGCCCGCGTGGCCGAGGTGGGTAGCTGAGAGTGAAAGGGCAGCTCAGGGCGGGCGTCTGCTCAGGGTTGGGAATGTCCTCCTGGCCCAGGGCTGGCCTCCCACTGGGCTTCTGGAGGGAATACAGAGAACCCACCAAAGTGCATCTGTCTGGGGCGGATCCCATTTTCCGAGGGCAAGGTCCAGAGCCATGGATTGCTGCTGGGTCCCCCCTGACGGCTAGAAAGGTCTGGCTGAGGAAATCCCCAGGTCGGGGCAGCCGTACCCAAGGTTAAGATCCGTGAGGAGTCTGGGGACTGGGCGCCAGGGAGGGGGCACCCCTCCCCTCCCCTGCTGGCCTGGGTGCCCTGTCGTGAGCTGTGCAGCTGAGGGAGGCGATGCGGCCTTTGGGCCCGGCCCTGCCGGGCTGGGTATGGCTGCCCTCGGCGTTGGGGTCTGCACGGGTGCGGCAGGCAGGAAGGGCCGGGGCCGGTCCCCGTGCAGGGTGCTGGCTCTTCCCAGAATGTTCTGGAGTTCAGGCCATGACGATGTTGCATTGGGAGCGGCTCCCGAAGCTCAGCTGTTTGGTGGCAGCTCAGCCTGGCTTCCCCCATCCGGGTACACGTGGAGGCCGGCGGGGCCCCGCACTTCTGCACAGTCCCCCAGGCCAGCGCCCAGCAGAGTGGGAGGGAGGGAGGAGGGAGGGAAGCCCCTGTTTTCAGGTCCTTGGACCCCCACCGCCTGGCCTGGGGTGCAGTCTGTGCAGAAGCTGGGCCCCTGCCCCGCCAGGACGGACGGTGGCCAAGCCGGGTGGCGGGAAGTGCTTCCCCTTGGGCTGGAGCTCGGGAGGACGGTACCGGGTCCCTGCTCAAGGCTGCAAGTGTTGTAAAGACCCCAGGACGTCAGGCGAGGCCTGGGGGGGGGGGCGGCATTTTCCTGAGCTTTTCAGAGCCTCTGCTGGTGTCTTCTTGAGAAAACGGAAATTGGGTAGCCAGGAGAAAAACCCCACTCGCACTGCAGGCCACTGGCTGGGGAGTGCCTGAGCCTTCAGACCTGCGAAGGCCAGGCGCAGAGGGCGGCCGCTGCCCTTCGCGGGAAGAGCATCCAGGGCCCCGCTGCCCTCACCCCACGTGTGCCCTGCCTCTTGGCCCCGCCGCTGCCCTGCCCCGGCGTGGGCCCCGTGGGGGGACGTGGAGCTGGTGCAAAGGCAAGAGACAGAGCCGCACCCTGGCGGGGCCAGCCAGTGCCCCCGGGAGACAGGAGACAGTCCCGAGGGGGCAGCGGGGCCCCCGGAGGCCGCAGCAGGCGGAACAGATTTGCAGCATTCTAACCGCAGGGCAGGGAGGCAGGAGACCTGGAGCAGGTGGTGCACCTGCCCAGGTAAGGGGTGGCGGCAGCTTGTGGCGGGGGGGGGGGGGGGGGGGGCGCAAAGGCGAGGCACAGAAGATCCAGGATACGATTCAAGGGCGTGGCTGGGATCCTAGGTTTTAGGCTGAGCCCCTGGCCGGCGGCCCGGCAGGTGCTGGGTCTGGGCTCTCGGGAATCTGGTCTGGAGGGCGCGCCGGGGTACACCAAGCTCTTGGGGCGGGGGGAAAGGGCTTACTGCCCAGCTGGGGCCCTGCCCAGCGCTGTCCTTCTGTGGTAGATGTGCATGCGTTACACACGTGCCCAGCTGGTGAGGAGGACAGAGACAGGGTCCACGGCTCGGGGCCCAGAAGCAGAAGGTGGCCACACCAGTGGCCACACGGGGCTGCTGGGAGTGGGGCGGGGCGCCAGGCACAGACCTGTGTGTGCGACCACACGAGTGGCAGGTGGGAGCCCAGGTGTGAGGCTGGGCAGCAGCGCCCAGTGGGCCTTAGTCGGGAAGGGGGTCCCAGGGCCTCTGAGGCCCATGGCTGTCCGGCAGCCTCCAGCGGGGCTCAGCTCCAGAGCGAGGTAGGTTGGGTGTGCCCCAGGGCAGGACCCTCCCTGGGTGGCAGACAGCTGTTTGGGGACATCTACATCTGTGCACAAGGACCCCAAAAGGCCGGCATGGCAGGGCCAGGCGGGCAGAGAAGGGGGTCCCTGAGAAGCTCGGATTTCTGAATTTGAGCCCAGCCTCGCTCACCACAGAAGCATCCGGGGCAGGATGGGAGGACCCAGCTGGCTCTGGGTTAGTGGACTGGTTCCCACCGTGGTCTTCAGGCCGTGGAGCTGGTCACGGTGAGCAGAGGAGTCTCACTGCCGACTTGCAGCAGTGTCTGCACCCGGGCTGGGCACCTCGGGCCATGCTCCCCCTCGCCTGCCCCCAGAGCCCCTTGGCCACAGTGCTCGCGGCCTCCCCTCAGGAACTCAGCCTGAGCAGCGGCCGGGAACGGCTGCCCGCCCAGCGCCAGAGCGGTGCTGTCCTCGGGGCCGGCCCAGTGGCCCTCTCGCAGGTGGACCCCAAGAAGCCCAGAAAAGGGGCTGCACAGATGCCCCGAGGTGATGGCCTGAGGCCCAGTGACCAGTAGCTCCTTGCGGCTGCAGACCCTGCTCTGCACTGAGAGGCCACAGCCAGGGCCAGGGTGGCTCCTAAGCCCATCTGGACATCAAAGGGCACTGGCCGCCGGCCAGCAGGGAGCAGCACGCTTAGGACTGACCCAGAGAGCGCCTCCGTGCTGTGCTCAGCCGGCAGGGTCCTGTCCTGCGCCCCCGAGGGCCCGAGCACCCTGGACGCTGGCTCAGAGCCTCTGCTGCCCCTGCCCAGGCCAGAGCTGGTCGCCTCCCTGGAGAGCTCCCGCCGCCAGGCTGAGTTTCCATTTTCTTTTCCTTCCTTCTGCTATTTTGGTGCTGTTCCCAGAGGGAAAACCCACTTGACACACGAAGCGTTCCCAGAGCCTGCCCGACCACTCTCGGGGCTGCTCGTCGGGGTGCGAGGCCAGGGCAAGTGAGGCTGGAGGGACTGTGTGCCCGGCCACGTGGGGGAGGCCCCTGTCACAGGGAGGTGGCCCGCCCGCCCACCCCGGGGCCCAGTGGGCTAGGGGCAGTGGGTCTCTCGTAGAGGGCAGGGTCCTGGCCCACGAAGTTGGCGACTTGGGCCTGGGACTGTCCATCGGGAACGTCCGCCAAGAGGACATTCCCAGTGCTGTCCACCATGGGAAAGGATCTTATCAAAGAAATTTGAGTTTAAAAAAAACCCTAAGCAGGAGCCCAGGCGTGGCCAGGCATAACGTCTATTTTTCTGTCCCTCCGGCCCCCTCTGCTGTGGTGCGGATTGGGCCGTGGCCCCAGTGATGTCAGCCCTTAGAAGTGGGCCCCAGGAGGGGAGAGGCCACTGCAGGATGACAGTCACCCCACCTCAGGGAGCTCTCAGCAGAGCCGGCTCAGGGGTCTCCAGGAAGGGGAGGGTGATGGGCGGGGAGCCTGCAGTTACGGGAGGCTGGGCCTCGGGGACAGGCTTACAGACCCCCCCGCGGGAGACCCCAGGGCTGGGCAGGGGTCCTGAGAGGGCGGAGGAGGCCGCCCAGGCTGATCTCTGGCACGGAAATGGGTGTGGGCAGAGGGCTCTTGGGGGAATGCGAGGGGAACCCCGGGCCAGTGGCCCCCCAGCGCACACACCCACAATTTGGGGCCC